CACCCTCATATTTCTAAACGAACCAGTCTGGCACTCTCTAGTTCACTAATGAGGCTCCGAGGAACGCTGCCGATCACACTCTGCTGTTTCTTCTTCTGATCTGATGGAAATCTGAGGATTCGTTACCAGTTCTGAACGCAGCGGCTGCCCAGTTCTCCCAGTCTACACACACTTACATGTGCGAGGGACAGGTTTCACAGCAGGGCGGTGTGACGGCAGCGACTTCACAGCAGTTCGCCTCAGACTGAATCCTGATAAACATGGAGACCCTCTGCCTTCTGCCCGACTCTTTTATTTTGAAAAGTTTTCTTTGGGTTCAGATGTTTGTGGTGATGTTTCACTTCCTGGAACGATCATGTGTCAGTCAAAACTTTTAATGTTTGTTGCGCTAAATCATTTCAGCGAGCATAGGCAAGCTGTGGTTCACAGTCCACACGTCTTTTCATCGCCCGTCGCAGAAAGACAAAGGCAGACGACCATGTTTTAACTTATGTCTAAACGTGTTTGTTACCAAAATATCTCCTGAACTTATGGTCACATTCTAATGAAGATTGTAGACAACAACCCTTGTAGGCACGTCTACAACTGATAAGCTGCCAGTCAACCCAGTTCAAGGTGTCTGTGAATTTAAGAATAATCTGAGTTAATTTTGGTGTGGAAGTAGCTGAGAGTAGTCCTCAACACATTCTCTGAGCACTAACAAAGACTGCTTCATGCATTTGTCACATCTAGACTGGACTATTGCAATTATTATTTTTTTTTTTTAAATCTCCAAATACTTCTTGAAAACATCTTCAGTTGATCCAAAACGCTGCTGCCAGAGTCTTAACTGGAGTTACTGGGAGAGATCATTTCTCCAGTTTTAGCTTCTCTCCATTGGCTCCCTGTCAAATCCAGAATTGAATTAAAAAGTCTTACTTACAATCTACAAAGCTCTCAACAACCTAGCTCCATCTTATAGTTGAGATCTTATTGTTCCATATTTTCCTAACTGAGCACTTCGCTCTCAGACTGCAGGTTTACTTGTGGTTCCTAGAGTTTCCAAAAGCAGAATGGGATGAAGATCTTTCAGTTCTCAGGCTCCTCTCTTGTGGAACCAACTTCCAGTTTCTGTCCATGAGGCTCAAACATTGTCCAGTTTGAAGACTTTCCTTTTTGATAACTCCTATAGTTAGTTGACTTGTTATGTTGCTATAGACTTAGAGTACTAGAGGACAAATTGACCTCATTTCCTTAAATGATTTGCTAAAATTGAATAGTTTTCATTTGATACTATTTCTACCTTAATATGTGAGTCTTGACCTGCCATTGTGTATCTGTTCCTCTCAAACACAGCCAGTTGAACCAGATGACCGCTTGTTCTGAACCTGGTTCTGCTAAAGGTTTCTTCCTCATGAGGGAGTTTTTCTTTTCCACTGTCGCCTTCATGTTTGTTCAAGATGAGAGTTCTGTGATGGAGTTAAACTCAAAGCTGCTCCTCAGATAAATAAAGTTAAATTATTATTTTTATATAAATGAATGTTTCTGTTCAGTGTCCTGAGACGACTTCTGTTGTGACTTGATGCTACAGAAATAAACTGAATTGAACTGAACAACGCTCGCACATTTTGCAGTGCAGCATAGGAATGTGCATAACATTATTTTTAAGGTTTATTTTGAGTATTTGTCCCACGTTTAGACACAATTAGATTTCCTGACATTGAACACGTCATTTTGTGAAACATTTGTTTAACTCAGGGCACTTTAAAACTAATCAGGATTATTCTTTTCTAAAAAAAAAAACTAAAATATTAAATAAGAAAATCATGAGCTAGTTTTTATATTGACCCTATAGATTTTTAAGTTTCTAAATGAGCTGGTCACAGATTTGGTAATATTAACTTTTGCTGCAACAAATAACAGGTCGAGTTTGAATTAAATTTCGCTGCGGTTCACAAGGATTCGCTTAAAAAAAAGCCAAAAGCAGAACAAACAGAAAGAAGCAGTTACATCATTTGATTAGAAATGTCATTATTTATCCGTTGTGTACAAAACAAATATTTCTGTCGTTGCATTTTGACTTTTGCATGCCCCTCAGGTGACGATTGACGTGGAGCTCTGCCTCAACAAAAAGGCCAAGCTGAAATCTTCCAGAAGACCTGCTGCAAAATACGACGTCTACCTCTACAGGACGTCCCAAACCAAAACCCAAATCCCAAACGGGGAAAGTGTCAAAACTGTCAGCAATGGTCCCAGTAGAACCAAGGGACGGGTTTTACGGTGGGAGGATGATTGTTACCCACCTTCTCCTCCTTGTTCCACCTGCAGCCCCGTGAGTATTCGCTCACAGCAGCCCAAACCCTGGACGGTACACCCCCACGCTCTCTGACAAACAGTCCCTGTCTGTGTCCCCGTCCCGGACGATTACGAACGTGATTGAACTTCTTGCTTTTGTTTGTTGGAGTTCATGACAAGAACTGAAACTGTGGACTTTTATGTGTTCCATGTGAAAGAAATCTCTGCATTCATACAATTTAATGGGATTTTTCTGCTTATTCTTAAAAGCAGGGCAACATTAAACACGACCACAGGCAGCTGAAAGCATCACTCACCCCAACCAACTACTTTTAACTTGTATTTTATCAAATTCAACTGATCAGAGCTTTTTAACAGTTAACAAAGATCATCCTTTCTTTTTGCTTGAACAAGCAGCTGGCTCCCTTTGAATAAACAGAACGGATGTGGATGGTTTTAACATGCACAAGTTATTAAGACGCACGTTCTATGCTCACATATAACAACTGTCTTTGCAACACCTTATATAAAATATATATTTTTGCCACTTTCTTGTTTGTTCTCGACAATAAAAGCTCGTGCACGAGATGGTATGTTCATTTGTCTGCCTTTTTTTGGTGCAAATGAGCTGCATTCACTCTCCGTTTTAACATTTTAAATAACTTTTTATTCCATTTACCGTATATGTGACATGAGAATACAACATGCCTGAATGTCATTTACAGATGAACAGTGATAGTGTACTTTACAGATTTATTTGTATTATTGTTATTATTATGAAGTTGTTTATTGTTTGTGTCCTGACAAACAATAAACACCAGATGATCTTCAAACTTCAATGAAGTCAACATGAGCCATTCAGAGCTGCACACTGCCATCTGCTGACTAAACTTTAATTCTGCTGCTGTAACTCTTTAAACCAGCAGGTGGCGCTGCTCGCAATCTGAGCCAATAGACAAAACGAGGAAGAAGAAACGTACAGGCAAAGATCGTCTAGAACAATGAACAGCCACCACTCTGCTGTTGATCTGAATAATTTTAAAAACGAGAAAATCATCACAAAACAACAACAGAAACAAGAAAAACGCAATTTTATCAAGTCACTGCTACCCCGCGACCCGTAAATGATCTAAATAAACCTAAGGATTGTGTCAGCCTGATTTAAAAAAAAATATTGAGACCAACCTGTAAAAAGGTTGAATAAATGAATGATTATGCAAAGTAGATGAAAATAATAATCTGCTAAATTTACCATTTGCTTAATTATAATTATTTTATCATTACTTAAATTTAATATGAAAGTTCTAGAATACTGCGAAAATTAGCATGTATATATAAAAAAATGTTAAAACAACTAAAGTATACAAAAAAAGTTTCACAATTTAACGTCTGTTGTGCTCAAACATAGTTACAAGTTTACAGCTATTCTGTAGATTTTACATTAAGTTAAATGCAATTCTGAATTTTGTTTTAATTAAAAAGTGCACAGTTTGTTATCTATTCGTCACAAAAATGTAATTAGATTTATTTATTTTTAAATCTAGTTTAGCAAACTGTAACAAAATGCAATCTATTTATTAGAATGTATTAAATTGACGCCGGTTTGTACTTTTCGAAAGTGTAAAAATATTTAAAATATGTATATTTTGACCTTAGACATAGTTAGATGCCGTCACAGACACGTGATCCGCCACTTTTACTTGATTCTACCTGGATTTTTATTTTATAACTTTATTTAACCATAACAATACACAACTAAAAGTACCAATTCTTACAATAGAAAGTTACAAAAGGTGATTCATAACACAATGGAAATAAAAGAAATAAAGAGAGAGAAAAAAGAAAGAAAAAATAAGCATTATATGAGGAAATTGAAATTAACTAAGAAATTTGTCAGCATTTTTCCCTTTTACATATTTTAATGATTTTGCACAAGACTTTAGCTCATTCTTCCAGTGGTTCACATTAGGTTTACATTTGAAAAAGCGACATTTATGAACATAATGTTTAGCTAATATAATCAAATTATTGATAGCATATTCATTATTTCCAATCTTATTAATGAACCCAAATTTGATTTCTTGTAAAGTGAGAGTAAGTAGCTGAATCCCTTTGGATTCGATCCACATTTTAAAATCAAGACAAAATTGCTGAACTATCATGCAATCAAAGAAAAGATGTTCCAGGTTCTCACTCTCTGTCTCACAGAAAACACAGTTCCCAGTGTCCATTTTAAATGTTGTCCTTAAAAATTCCTTGGTAGGATAAATTATATTTAAGATTTTAAATTGAATTTCTTTGGCTTTAGGAGGAACCGGAAATGGTATAAAATTAGTTCTGATCTTTTTGATGTCTTCTTTACTAAAGTCCTTCAGAATATTTTCTCTCCTAATTAAATTAGGAGAGTAGTGATGCATCCACCTGGATTATTGAGCACGCATCAGGATATTTATTTGATTTTGACAAACGGTTTGTAGTGAGACATCGTATCTATAGACATATCTTTGTTCACCCGATCGCCTACGTCACTCCACCGTGCAGCGTTAGCATCAATGGAAGTTATTGCCATTTTAAATTTATAAAAGTTTCCGTCACGTTTAAGTGACGAATGCGCCAAACTGAGGTTTATGTATTACAGTATTATTTTCCAGACGCATTTTTTTGATACAAAAAAGTTTTATTTGTGTTGTTTACGATTAGCTAGCTTAGCCAGGTGTGTTAGCACCATGTTTACAGAGCTCAACAGCATCCTGAACGCCTCTCCCGACAGCTTCACGCAGGTAGGAGCTCATTCTGCACCTCAGACCGCCTCTGACATCACTGCTACATGATGTCATATGTCATATGAAGGTTCTGTGTCTGCAGTAAGCTAATGCAAGTTTCTTTGACATTAAAAACAAAGTCATCCGTTGTTCTGCCACCAGGGAGAATTTGTCCTGGTTTCTGACAGACAGAGTGACGCCTCTTTTCTCGTGAACCACTTCCTTTCTTTCTACCTGCGAGGTGAGTTGATGCAGCTGCCAGGACCCAGAGAAGCTGGTGCCGTTCTGTGGTTCTAACCGAGGTCTGATCTGTGTCCCAGCCCGCTGCAGAGTCTGTTTTCTGGGGCTGGTGCAGTCCTTTTGCCACTACAGTGCAGTCAGTCAAAGACTGGTGACTACCTTCATTTTTACCTTTGTGTAAGTAAAAATTATAACGTGGTGCTTTTTTTGTTGTTGTAACATTTAATTTGAACCGTGTGTTTTCAGGGTGTCAGTTTAACAGAAGCGAAGGAGAAAGGCCAGCTGATATTTCTTGAAGGACTAAATGAGTCCCTGTCGATTCTGGTTCCACGTGACAACGACTTCACGAGTCGAGCCATGAGCTTCCTCAGGTCCAGACGCGTGACACAGTTTGATTATCGTTGTGTTGTAAACATTACCCGATGTTTCATTTTGGATTATTCCCCTCTCCTGTTTTTATCTCTTTGCTCGCAGGGATCCTGGCGTCGGCCTGCGGAGCCTTTACGAGTTTGTTCGATCCAGTCTGACTGGTTCGGGCGGGGCAGAGGAGTGGGGACCACCTGTGTTGCTGGTGGACGACCTCAGCGTACTGCTGAGCCTGGGGGTCCGCACCGGAGCCGTGCTGGACTTCAGCCATTACTGCAGAGCCACCGTCTGCTCTCAACTACAGGTTTGACTTTCAGTAACGGCCTTTTATTCAAAACGTGTCTTTTAATACAAAGTTTGTTTTCTCAGTCATCCAGGTATATAACAACAAAAAAGGTTGAATCATGTCATCTGGACTTCGTTTTTTTGTTAAAAAGAAACGTTTCGCCCCTCATCCAAGAGGCTTCGTGAGTCCAGATGACATGATTCAACCTTTTTTGTTGTTATATACCTGGATGACTGAGAAAACAAACTTTGTGTTTTTGAAACCATTAGTGAAAAGGCCAGACTTCAGGGGTATCTGAGGCATGCAGGCTTGAAACACAAGAGTCAGGGTGGCTTCTGGGTAATACCAGATGGCTAGGCCTCAGACTGACGAAGCCTCTTGGATGAGGGGCGAAACGTTTCTTTTTAACAAAAAAAACGAAGTCCAGATGACATGATTCAACCTTTTTTGGTGTCTTTTAATAATTAACTGACTTCTTTATGACCACAGGGGAACATGGTGATGCTAGTACGCTGCAATGGGGACGAAGAGGAGGATGGAGATGAAGGTTCGGAGTGGCTCCGGAAGGGTCTGTCCCTCCAGTGTAGCCTCGCTCTCCATGTTCAGGGTCTCCCCACCGGCTACTGCAAGGACATACACGGACAGGTGTGGGACCAGTGATTCAATCTGTGTTTTACTTTAAATAATCATGATTTATGTTTTCTAACTGAACCTTGCAGTTAAATAAGACAACGAGACGTCCGCTGCTCACATCTGAGGCGTCGTGGAGGATTAAAGACGGCAGCGGCTCGCAGCACGTCTATTCGATTGACGGCAAACCCAACTGGATCTGTCACAAATTATTTGTAACCTTTTTACAATAAATTAATAGAACTGGTAATTAATATTAATGTCATTCAAGGATCATGTGAAACAACTACATGATACACGAGGATCTCTTCCATAAGTAATCGTGCTCAGTAAATAACACACGACTCAGAAGTTGCATATATTGCGTAACAGTGCTGGAGTAACAAATATTTGTTGTTATTTACCTGTTCTGTAGTCGACGCTTACAAAACGTTCACAGCAGACCCTGTGATTTGTCGAGGGATAAAACTCGTCTCTACTGATTTATTGGCTAACCGTCTTCTCAGCGGGTCAGGTTTGTGTAATGGAAACCTGAAAATACTCAACTATATAATATTATTCTACACTGTAAATATTACATGAATACAATATTACATACCAGCGTTTAATATTGAATAATTTGTGCTAAGCTGTAGCACGATTCAGCACAGAACATGCCACAGAAGCTAATGTCTACGAGTCCATTCAATAACGGGGATGACATCAGCTCTATAGGCTAATTTTAATTTTAACGGGTTACGTTGTTAGCTTAAATTACGGTCGGATTATATTCACGTTGAGATAAATAAGATGAAATCTGCGTGAAATGAGACCGGTTTTCCTTTCTTCTGGTTATGGCTCCTGTCCCTCCAGTGAATCCCGTCACGTTTTAACTCGATGAACTGAACACGAACGAAACGAGTGCGTTTAATCTGCACAATAAAGTTTGTATCATTTGCTGTTTTATAGTTATCGCTGCAAATTGTGCAGCTGTTGCAACAAAATGTAGCGTTAGGTTTTCATTTAATGTTATTTTCTTTGTTTTCCTTTACATAAAAGTGACATTCATTAAGTTGAAATTTTCCATTCAAAGTTTTATGCTCCTTGTTTTTCAGGTGGAAGTCTGTTGGAGGAGACGAGGCGAAGGGCAGCTCGCCCAGAATAAACTCTTCCAGTACAAAGTCCACGATAAAGGAGCCTCCTTCTTTGCCCGAGGGACCTCCAGCGCTGTTCTCTAATTTGACTCTCACCGTCGGCTCATCCAGATGTAGCAGCAGCTGTTTCAGTGTCACGGCGGCCGTGGGACGATCGCGCTGCGTTTGGCTGGCTGTGTCTGACGTCCTGCTTCAAGATGTCCGAATCACTCGCTGCGTTTTAATTTATAAAGAACCTAAACTCGTTACCTGAACATGTATGCTAACAGAACGTGTGAGCATGCTAACGTGGCGTGTCTCAACATGATGCGCAGTAGTTTTAAGTAAAATTTGGGAAATTGGACGAACGGAGGTCAGAAGAAACAAAATGTCAGCTGTGAACGATCTGTTTACAGCAGATAAACCAGTTCCTAGTTCAGATAACCCATCGCAGCACAGTATGCCAAGATGTCAGCTGACGACTCTAGGAGACACCGTTTGTGCATAAAATAAGTTTTGAGGTTCGTTAAACAGCTTGGCATGATGGGAAAAAATGTCTTTGTGATAAACTTCTAATAAAGTCCTAAAACGTTCAGATTTAAAAATGTTTTTGAGAGATGTTTTCAAAGTGCTAAAGGTAAATGTGATTATTTAAACATTCATTTACACCAGGGGTCTACAACCACCTTGGAAGTTCTGACTAAATAAAACACGGACATTTATGTACTTATCAGAACGGTGAAGTTTGTAAAAGTGTTAATAAACTGAAAATAAAAGGATCAGATGGTGCTAATAGCTGTTCTGTTCGTTATTTTAACTTGCAGACATCCAGCGTGATCCTTCTCTGAAGTCCACCTGAAACTTTTACATTTTTAACAAACTTCAGGCAAGTTGCTGACGATAAAAATACTTTTATAAGCCTGTTTATATTTAAAGTACTACAGTTTGATATTGGGTGCTGGTTTGTGTATGTGTGTGTGTGTAAATAGGTATATATTATCTATGTATTTATGCAGGTACATGTGTATGTATATATCTATGTGTGTATGCATTGCTTTCATCTGGTCCAGAAATTAGTATTATAGTTATTATTATTATTACATTTTATTTTATTATTATTATTTTTGGAAAGCATACTGGCAACAGGAAGACTATTTATGCTATGAATTAAAGAATGGAAAAGGGGTATGATTATATAAGTTAAACTTCATCATACTCCTTTTCAGACTCAGTCACCAAAAAAGTGGAGTATTTACTTGTATTTGAGTATTTTAAAATTGAGTATGTGTATTTAATAATAAGATATTGTATTTACACTTAGAAACATGAAAGTCTTTATTATTATGTTTTGTTGGTGAAATGTCTGTCTGAAATAAAAAAAATAACTTTTTATTAGTTGTGTTATCTTTATTTCATTTTCTTAATATTTATGTTTAATTTCCTTTATTTATCCAGAAAACCCCTTTGAGATCAAGATCTCATGTGAAAGAGGGACCTGGGAAAAAGTATTTAAACTTCAAATTTGCGACTGTGTACATTTTTAATGGGTAGAAATGGCTTTTTTTTTTGTTTTAGGTTTAAACATCTGTCGGACATCTGGACAGACAGTCTGCATGACTCCCCATAAATATTTAATTATAAATAAGGTGAAGTAAGTTTAATTAAAAATTCTTCAAAAAATTTACCCCGCTAAACATTATATGATCAAATTTAAGAGAGACATAAATATTGATTGTAGTTTTTGTGGTGACCTTCCAGAAACCGTGACGCATCTTTTTTGGCTCTGCCCTTTCACACGCAGGTTTTGGACGGAGTTTACCAGGTTTATTATTAATAACCATATTTTAAGGAATTTTTACTTACGTTGGGAAAATGTTTTAATTTGTTTTTCTAGATTCCCCAGAAAGGATGCTAAATGCTTTTTTTTAATAATAAACTTGCTAATTCTTTTGGCCACATTTTTCATTCATAAATGTAAATTTACTAACAAAACGCCATGCTTTATTCATTTTATTAAGGATGTGGAATTATATGTAACGTTAATAACAGACTCTAGCAACAAAAAGGCCCTTAGGGCAATTTCTGTATGTAAATCTTTGCAAATATTTGTTTTAAAAAACACACCCCTGGTTGTTTGTTCATGTAAGTGTTGTGTTCTTCTGTTTACTCCAGCCTTTTGTTTGTTGTATACTTGTCATTTGCTTTAATAAAGAAAACAAAACAAAAAAAACAGCCATCTGTTCAAACACAGCGACGTGTCATGGCAGGTTGTGTCCGCTAGAGGGCGCTGTGACGCAGCGCTCCACTTTGTCGAAGGGGTGAGAGGTCGAAAAGGAGAAGAAGTCTCGCTAGGATTTGACAACCTGTAGTTTTTTTCGTGCGCTCTTTCCATGTCTCTGCCTGTCACCATGACTTTTGCGGAGTTAACCTGCAAATAAGGACTAATAAGGCGGTTTATCGCCATTTTATCCAGGACGACCCACACTGACACGGATATTCGACGGAATCCTGAAGTTTGTCCAGGCAAGTATGAACAGAGAAGCTAATAACCCGCTTGCATCAGCTGCTGTAGCTTTAGCTTTGTGTGAAGCACAAGAGCGGTTGTTGTGTATTCTCTTTATTATAAAGATAATCTGCTTGTTGGTGTGCTGTGTCTTTGTCAGGCAACACTTTGATTTGGTCGGTGTACCCTTACACCCTGAACGTCTCACTACTTGGTTTATGCTAACGAATGATGGTAATTTCCTCAAGAACTGTTTTTAAAACACATTTTTCTAGGTTCACCAGAGCCTCGTCGAATTAGGTTTGGACTTCGGTGTCCCTGTTTTCTTTTACTTTAAGCAATTTAAGTAAAAAAAAATCCCATTAACAGAAACGCATGTTCACAGGGAAGCTAACGTTAGCAGTTTGCTAGCAGTGTTAGCCTTTAGCTTGGTGCTTTGACAAGTCCAGTTCAGGTTCCGAGAAGATGATGAAACACGCAGGAGACAACTTTTAATTGTAGCAGGATAAGGTTGATTTGTGCACTTTTCTGTGGTGTCTCACAGGTAACGATGACAAGACAACGCTGTTCATTTATTTTTATCACCTATTTTTGGAGCTGCACATCTATAATTGTTTTATTTTCTGATTAACTCAGTTTTCTTTTTTAATTTTTTTTAATCAAAGTAGTAAAGAGTCAGACCTCTGATGGATGACAGTCTTATGTGTGTTCTGTTTGGCTTTTTCTTGTTTCTCTTTGATGCTTAAAATAAATCTTGAAGCCCAATGAAGAGGCAGTTTTGGAGCTGATCAGTTGGAACAGTAGCTCTGGACATGCCTGTTTTCATGTCTTTGTCATTGCTTGTTTCTTGTAGGTGATGTTGCAACAAGGTTACATCAGCGCCACCGTCCCAGCATGTACTCCTCGTCTTGGGAAATGCATTTCACCTTTCAGATAGCGCTCATACACTTCAGGTTGTAAATGCACTGTGGATTTACACAGATGATAATGTCTGCGTCATGAAAATTCATTTATTTAGAGTGGCTGTTTTTCCTGCCTCGTGGAGGATATAGTAAGAAATTCAAGCGTGGAAGTAGTCTGCCTCTTTCACATCATTAGTTATTACAACACGGTTACTGATTAACAGAGGCTTTCTGTCATCAGCGTTAACAGCCCATTCACATTGAGCTGGTCTCTGCTGATCAGCGGCGCATGCTTCAGATTTATGCAACCATGTCGCTGAATTTCGATGCCGTTATGTTACAAAGAATGGATGCAGTCTGAAGCGCTCTGGAATGTTGGTAGTTTTGCTTTTGGCTGTGCAGTGAGTGCTTTGCACGAAACATAAAGTAGCTGATTATGCCGCTGGAATCTCTAAAGTCCAGAGGGGCTTTCAGGTTGGATATTTTAGCAAAGATTGAAAAGAGGTAAGCGTTTTGCCTTTGCTTTTTCAAGATTTCATATTCAAACAAAAGTCACTTAAAGTGGAGGCAATCGTTACGCTATTGCGCTCACAGTTATACAGATGCCTTTTTGAAATCTTTAATTTAATCTCCAAGGCATCTGATTAGGCTTATTTTAAATTAAGCTAATCTTGCAGTGTGGATAATTGTTATCAGGTTTTTGCAAGAAGGTGAGCTGGCTTTTTATGGGGCAAGCTTTTGACTGAAAAACTTTTCTTGCCGCACTCCAGATTTACATTTAAGTTTAATGTGTTTCAATAGTTTTTTTTTTTATTGCCCCCAGTCGTACCAGTCTAAAAAAAATCCCACCAGAATAGCTTTTCTAAATAATCACCTGCAGAGAAATTCACCAGTCCAAGAGGCTGCTGCTTAGCTTGTTGCTGCTGGTCATTTTCCACTCTGACTGTGTAGGTTTTTTGTTCTGTGTTGCAAAGCCTCCATCAACCCTGCCGTGCTGTTAAGGCATGAATGACTGGGCTTCCTGCGACGGGCGTAAAAGACTGAAGTCTGTGACCAGAGGAGGAGGGAAGCGGTGGGAGGGTGGCCGCAGAGCCTGCACTCTGCTTGTAGAGTTTCCGATCAGCTCAATCTCGGATTAGTTTACTGACGGAGATGCTGCTGAGCCTTTGCCAAATCAGGCCTTGCAGCTGCACCAACGTCACCCTGAACTGGACTAACCGCAGAGAGATGGAGGTTTTCATTCAGAGTTTTTTTTTTTTTTTAATGAATTCCTGGCTTGACCGTGAGCAAGACCAGAACCTGGCTCGACACCCCTACGGAAACCAAGACTAAAAGGACTGCGCTTCAAACGCCTCCGTTGGCTTTTGTGAGCCCATTGTGCAAGCTCTCTGTTGCTGTGTTTACTGTATAGTGTATTTATAACAGCAGATCAAGAGACTCCTGAGGAGATTTTCTCCCAGGGGATGTTTCCGTTGCTCCCGGGGGGACAAGCCAAGCAATCGCTCTCTCTGCCTGAACCAAGAAGGGAACACTGTGTCAACCACAAGACGCAGGTTGAGCTAAAAAAACCAAGCGCTGCTGCTTTCAAGGGACGTAAACAGGTGGGATCCCGAGAGATAAACTGGTCTCCCATCAGCAGGTACGGTCTTTTGTGATCGACACAGTGGCTGATGTGCTGGGGCGCGATTAACTGGTTAAACTGTCGTCGTTTACAAAAAGAAAGATAATTAAACTCAACGGAGTGAAATGCTGCTGGGATTTAGCTGCAGGAGTATTTGCATTGGGAAAGTCTGCAAACGCTCAAATTCAGCTCCCTGACTGTTTGCTTTGTGAGCAAAGAGACAAGAACTGACTGAGCAGAGACGTTAGCGGGGCATTGAGTTGATATGGGAAAGGTCTTTGTTTGAAGTGAGGTGAACCACCCTAAAGGCAAAGATTTCACGCTGTGTTCAAGTTCACGTATCAGTGTTCGGTTTGGTCTCAAGCAGAGAGCGATGGAAGTGAGCAAGGTCTTGTTTTAAGAAACAACTTTAACCTGCAGTGCTTTTTGTAATCAATCTGTTATTTCACATAAAATGTTAAATACAACTGTATTATTTAGTAGGCCTGGAACGATAACAAATTTTGCTGGTCGATTAATTGTCTCAGAAATTATTGTGATAAACGATAATATTGTTTGAAATTTGACAATAATTAGTAATTATTGTCAAAGTGAAGAAGAAATGTTGGTTAATTTGTTTTGCACGTAGTACATTTTTTGACCACCAAATGGTGGTATAAGACTGTTAGAACCAAAGGATGGATAGTGAGGGAGCGAGCAGCGTGTCTCTGTAAGAAAAATGTGAGGGAGGCTCCTTGACGTGGCATGGGCTGTCTCTCTTTGGTTCTCAAAATGGTGGCGGCTCGGTGTGGTTTGAGCTCTTTAGCATAACATTTTTCACACAAAGCTTTTAATAAAAAAAATCAGTAAACAAGTTCTCAGCTTCTTTTTGCAGAGAAAAACAACTTTTAACATGAAGGCACGAGTTTCAACCGTGAATTTTGGTGCTTCGACAAGACGGAGTTTTTTTCCCGAGGTCGGCCTGTTAGCTTAGCTTGCAGCTTAGCTTCTCGGCTTATCTGCTTTTACCGATCCAAAAACGTGATTTTGGATCGGTTAAAATGGATTTTAAAGAGAAAGGGAGGGTTCAGTGAAGAGCACCGGAGTTGAGTCTTTTGTCGTCCAGTGTCTTCAGTAGAAAGAGAGACACGAAGAAACGATAAAGCCGAGAAATGAAAATGAGGTTGATAATTTTAATTTGTCATGTGATTAATTGATTAATTGTTTTATTGCAACAGGCCCATTATTTAGTGTCTTATTATATATTTTTAATATTTAATTAAAATGCTGCAGTTTGTAATGGGGTGCACCAATAAATCGTCCGTCCGATTTATCAGCCCCGATTTCCTTAATTTTGGGAAAGCGGAAATCGGCTGATACAGATCCTTGTGAAAGTATTCGGCCCCCTTGAACTTTTCAACCTTTTGCCACATTTCAGGCTTCAAACATAAACATAAAATACATAAGATATAAAATTTTATTTTTTTGTGAAGAATCAACAACAAGTGGGACACAATCGTGAAGTGGAATGAAATTTATTGGATGTGTCAAACTTTTTTAACAAATAAAAAACTGAAAAGTGGGGCGTGCAATATTATTGGGCCCCTTTACTTTCAGTGCAACAAACTCACTCCAGAAGTTCAGTGAGGATCTATGAATGATCCAATGTTGTCCCAAATGACTGATGATGATCAATAGAATCCACCTGTGTGTAGTCAAGTCTCCATATAAATGCACCTGCTCTGTGATAAACTCAGGGTTCTGTTCAAACCACAGAGAGCATCATGAAGACCAAGGAACACACCAGGCAGGTCCGAGATACTGTTGTAGAGAAGTTTAAAGCCGGATTTGGATACAAAAAGATTTCCCAAGCTTTAAACATCCCAAGGAGCACTGTGCAAGCAATCAAATTGAAATGGAAGGAGTATCAGACCACTGCAAATCTACCAAGACCCGGCCGTCCCTCTGAACTTTCATCTGGAACAAGGAGAAGACTGATCAGAGATGCAGCCAAGAGGCCCATGATCACTCTGGATGAACTGCAGAGATCTACAGCTGAGGTGGGAGAGTCTGTCCATAGGACAACAATCAGTCGTACACTGCACAAATCTGGCCTTTATGGAAGAGTGGCAAGAAGAAAGCCATTTCTCAAAGATATCCATAAAAAGTTGTTTAAAGTTTGACACAAGCACCTGGGAGACACCAAACATGTGGAAGAAGGTGCTCTGGTCACATGAAACCAAAATCCAACTGTTTGGCCACAATGCAAAACGATATGTTTGACGTAAAAGCAACACATCTCATCACCCTGAACACACCATCCCCACTGTCAAACATGGTGGTGGCAGCATCATGGTGTGGGCCTTCTTTTTGTCAGCAGGGACAGGGAAGATGGTCAGAATTGATGGGAAGATGGATGGAGCCAAATACAGGACCATTCTGGAAAACCTGTTTGAGTCTGCAAGAGACTTGAGACTGGGACGGAGATTTATCTTCCAACAAGACAATGATCCAAAACATGAAGACAAATCTACAATGGAATGGTTCACAAATAAACGTATCCAGGTGTTGGAACGGCCAAGTCAAAGTCCAGACCTGAATCCAATCGAGAATCTGTGGAAAGAGCTGAAGACTGCTGTTCACAAACGCTCTCCATCCAACCTCACTGAGCTCCAGCTGTTCTGCAGGAAGAATGGGCAGAACTTCAGTGTCTCCATGTTCAAAACTGATGGAGACAAACCCCAAGAGACTTGCAGCTGGAACTGCAGCAAAAGGCGGCGCTGCAAAGTATTAACGCAAGGGGGACGAATAATATTGCACGCCCCACTTTTCAGTTATTTATTTGTTAAAAAAGTTTGACACATCCATGCCAATTTTTTTAGTTTTAACAACAATTTTATGAACTTCATTTATGTTTCAGAGCACCACCTCTTGGCCAGTTAAAACGAGTTTGTATTGTTTCTAGGATGTTGTTCAAGGGTATGTTTTTCGATTAAATAAGATTAGAAAATTGATGGTGCATTGTGACCTTATAACACCTGACATTGTCGCTTATAAAACAATATCAATATCGGCCAAAGTCGTAATTGGCGGCTCAGACTTTTTAGAAATCGGTGATCGGCCAGAAAACTGCAATCGGTGCACCCCTAGTTTGTAACCGTTTATTCTAATGTATTATCTGTAAAATGTCTGCCGTGGCTACAGATTGGCTCATTAATCAAAGATTAACAGTCACTCAAGAGAAAACGGGGCAGCTGTGTTCAGCACTGATTTAAGGCTTCCTGATGGAAAATACAAACCACATGTTCTTTGAAATCTTCACGGTGTGAAGCTGATGGGTTATTCAATTCTTAACCAGTTCTGGTTGTTTGCATTTCCCAAGAAAGTCAAAAACACATGCACTCTCCAATTCACCAATAAAATGTTACTAAGAATTAATATTAAGAATGAACTCTTTTCAACACTAGTGTGTTTTTATTTGAGCATCTCAATAACAACTAAGACTATTGGCCAACTTCTCTTATGGCTTTCCCACCTACATGGAAATAAACACCGTCTTCCAGGAAAATGAGGAAAGCACGAGTTGTTTTTTCCTCCAGCACGACGGGTTTAAGTGGGAAGTTTTCTTCAGTTGGGAATGTGCCCACACCTTTTGGGCATCTGAAAGGGTTGTGTGTTGTCTAGCACGTGACGGCAGTGTGAGCTTCTCCGAAGGAAAAACTGTGTTTTTAGTCAACAGCGTGCGTGCTAATGCTTCGAGGGTGCAACTCGTTTGGTGTCAAGGACAGAGCTGATGTGTGACTTTATTTATGGAGATGGTGAACAAGACTCACCTTGATAAGATGATGGAAAATGAGAAAGTGCTCGTGGCTACAGTTTGTGTTGCACTTAAGAACTTTATACTTTGAAAACATGACGATGTTAGCTTAACGAGTCCTGATGCTGCTCAATAATCCAGGTAGATGAATCTCACAAGATTGAGTCAGGTCCTCTGGATGAATTCTTCTTTGGTGAAAAGTTTCGTCTTTTATCCAAAAGACTTCTTCAGTGAAATAGTCTGAAGAAGTCTTTTGGTGCAAGATGTGCAGTCAGAGTTTCTTTATTGTCGTTCGCGGAATGAAATTGTGTCCACGGGGTCCCAGTTACACCCAACAATAAAATGTAAAAGAAAAACGGTAATAAGATCTAAGATATGAACGAAGAAAAACATAAACTAAAAATACACTAAGCACTAATAGCATAAAAGCAATACGCCAAACAGCAGCACGAACACGAGTCTAAAGTGTGTGTGCTGGGTGAGTGAGGTCCTTCATGATGCAGGTGGCCCTCTTCCTGCATCTGGAGGTGTAGATGTCAGTGATGGTGGGGAGACTGACTCCAACATCTTCTGTGCAGCCTTCACCACTCTCTGCAGAGCTTTTCTTTCTGCAGCTGTGCAGCCTCCATGCCACACGTTGATGCTGGAGCGCAGGAAACCACACGTGTTGATTTTTAAAAGTTTTTGAAAAATCTACACCATCAAATATAGATTATGTGAAAAGTTATCTGTTCTCATAAAAAAAAAAAGTCACCTTCAGGGTTTCATGGGAGCTGTTGTTGACTAATTACCATTGATTAAAAGACTCGGACACTTTAGTGTGGCGCTTTCAGCAGCGCTGAACATATTAGGAACCTGTACATAAAATATTCACGAGCGTAATCTTTAGATAAAATTATTATTCAAAATCTTCACCTTGCTGCATCTTTGGATTTTATTTGATTTAACTTTTACTAAAGTGTATGCATAAAAGGTCAATAACCCTTTGTCTAATCAGTGGTTTTAATATTAGCCAAAACTAACAAACTTTCTCAGATTACTGTTTTTAAATGTGCAGCTTTTGTTTTATATTGAATATTTGTTTTAATTCTCAGCATTTTATCGCATCGTTAATCAGCTTTTTTCAAAACACAAGTGGAAAAAACTATCTCAAGACATTCTTTGTCATGAAATCTTTACAAAACGATGTCTAATAAAACGATCAGGTTAAACTAATGGCTGTTTTCATCTGCTAATTATTCAGTTATTTATTATAATCAATCAGCGAGAAAGTAAAATTATACAACATCTTACTATAAAATGCACAGTAATTTATTTATTTACTTGCTGATTTATTGATTCATTTACTCATTTATTTATTGTGTTTACCATGAATAGAAAAAAAGATCATTTGTTTATGGTGTTCTGAGAAAGAAAAGTAGTCGATCTTCAGTTCTGCGTTGGAAATTTCATGTATTTTGAAGGTAAATGTAAAGAATTAAAACCATCTTATTGGTATATTATAAGAAAGTTGCAAGGTCTGATCGCTCAAAAGATTTTGTAACGGTATGGAATAATAAAAAATATGGTTTGTGGTTAAAAGCAAAATTATCACCATATTTGTCCTTTCTAATCAAAGATTTCTGAAAGAATGGATCCTGATGTAAAATGATAAGTTGAGTTTAATTGTTGGGAAAAAGAAAACGGTTCTTTAATTTGTAGCACTAAACCTTTTTATTGTGATTTTGTGTGGTTTTAAAGTGATTAGTTATTGAACTCTTTGCTCGTTTGTTCTTTAAGGCCCCTGGATGCTCCGTGGCGCGCCGCCCTCGGCCGCTCGGCTCTTCCCAATGGCCGGGAGTTGACCACGCCCACGAGAATGACGCTGCGAGAGCAGCTGAGAGAGAAGATATCAGTGGCCTTCTACCGCCACGGGCTACTGTGTGCCTCCTACCCAGTACCCATCATCCTCTTCACCTCCGCCAGCATCCTCACCTGCTGGTAAACCTCATGTGGTGTTTATGTGTGTACTCAGATTCTGGGTTGAGTCCTCTTTGTTTAACGCTCTCCCAGTTAAACAAACTGGAATCCATCATGGAATCATAGTGAGGAAATGCAGCAGTTTGCGTTTCTGCATTGGACAAGTGCCATTAAAACTTCTTTGTAAAGTTTTTAAGTCACAGAACCTTTGTTCCTGTGTTCTTGTGTAGAACTGTCAGAAACATTTTGAATGTTTTAAAGGAAAATCTTGTTTATTATTTTCCTTGTTTTCTTTTTTTTAAAATTCGTCCTCGTATGGTGGATGATATATTTCATTCATTCAACCTTTATTTATACAGGTTAGTCTCATTGAGCCTCGAGGACTCATTTACAAGAGAGACCTGTTTTTTTTTGTTTTTTTTAACAAAGAATGATGACAACAATAAACAATCATAAACGAAAGCATACACATTGACAAAAACAAATGAAAGAAAAGAAAAAGAAAGTGGTATTTAAAAAATGAAACGAAAAACAGATTATAAGGCGATGTAGAAAACTAAGAACAGGAACATGTCTGCGTTGGTTTTTCCAGGAACATAACAGATTCTTAAAGCCACTTAGAGAGGTCAAGGTCCAGAGCTTCAGATCGTTTTAGAAGATATTCCAGGAAACGGGAGCGGAGTAGGAGAAGGCCCTTTTGCCAAGTTCAGTCCTCACTGAGGGAACACTGCAGGTAATGATGTCCTGGGAGCGCACGCTGTAGCTGCACTCACGCAGAGACATGTAGGAGGAGATGTTTGAAGGCAGCAGTTTCTCTGTTTGATTTTTTTGGCCCAGATGTAAACACTTTTTTTCATCGAGTGGGATTGGACAACATGTTGGTCAAATTTGTTTTGTTCTTTCAAAACTAGGGCTGTACAATATTTAAAAAAAGAAAGTGATGTGCACATTCTTGCAATATTCTTGTTTAATATTGTAGAGCATGGTACATGGAAATATATCCATCTTTTTATTTATTTATCTTTACCCGCTTCTTCCTTTTCGGGTCACGGGGTTCACTGGTGCCCATATCCAGCAATCACTGTGTGAGAGGCGGGGGACACCATGGACAGGTCTCCAGTCCATCACAGGGACACACGAGACAACCATTCACTCTCTCACTCACACCTAGGGACCATTTAGAGTTACCAATCAGCCTAACATGCATGTTTTTGGTCTGTGGGAGGAAACCGGAGTACCTGGAGAAAACCCACGCATGCACGGAGAGAACATGCAAACTCCACCCAGAAAGGCCCTCAGCTGGGATTCGATCTAGCAACCTTTTTGCTGAGTTGACATCTCTACCAACTGATCCACTGTGAAATATAATGGACAGTTCTTTGCAATCTTGATTTTACGCTCGCTGATTTTGCAAAGTAGATACATTTGTTAGATATATTTTGCAGCCCTGATTAAATAAAAAAAAAAGTAATAAAATAAAATAAAGGTGAAATACAATAAATTGACACCATGTCTGATTATCCGACTTCCACAAAAAGCCGCAGCAGTAACAACAAAACTTATTAGTATTAGTAGTACAGATAACCCTGAATTGAGCAGAACGAAGCAGAAGACTGGCTCAGTTCAAGGCTGTCTGCACACACAACCATTCACCGCTGACCCCACGGCACAAACACTCACTCAACACGTGCACATATAATTTCTGCTCTTGCTAAATCACCGGTCCAAACAGAGGACATGGGTCAGAGACTTGCCAAGGCTTCATGTGTGCAGGCATTATCCCCGATCTAAAACACACACATGCACCTGCTGCTTGTTGTCCTATAAGCACGTTACAGCAGGGGTGATGGCCAAATGGACAACTGACCACCGGGGGGGTAAAGAGCTCATCAACGGGGCAGGACTGGGGCAGACGGCTGTGAGAAAGTGACCCTGTGAGAATGGGATGCCTGTTTCTCCATCTGCCTGTCAGGAGGGGGGCTGGCTAAACACAAAAGAAGCTTTTGTGGCGGTACAGTGACCTAGGAGAGTCGAAGAGGCAGGGGAAAACGTAGAGGGTGGGAGGGAACGAGGTTAGAGGTTTCTGTTCAACGAACAAGCACATGTTCAAAGTAGAACACGTATTTGAACAAGAGTACAAAATGGACATTGTGTATGTTCGGACAGCTAAGAATAATCAATACCAGTGACTCTGCAAACACTTTATCAGACGCTGAGGTTTCTCTGCATATTTAACTAATTTATGACTTTCAGTCAGTGCGTGCACAACCACCAAAACGGAAATGATTTCTAACACGATTTTTCCACTTTTTTTTAAATTATTTTCAAAATCTTGTTATGAACATAAAAACACAATCAGTGATACGTGTAGCCCAAATGATATTCCATGTGGTTTGCTCTGTTTGTGATTTTCTCAAGCCTACAAATGTTGCAATGGTTTTCTTGCAGCAGAGACAAAATAAACATCACGTGCAGCGTTTTTTAAGATGAATCCTATCCCAGTATACTCCTTTCACCATTAAAACCTCAGTTTCTCCATTCCTGTGTTAATCAACCCTCAACCATCCCTGATAAGTTGTTTCCAAAGAGCATGTATGGACAAGTTGGTGGTTTGGTCTGGAGTTGGGCTCAGCTGGACCAGCCCATTTCCAGGAGTAAGAGGAAGCCAGCCTTTTCAGGTAGAACATTTAACTGCATCTAGCAAGAAAAGCCAGAGGTGCAGGTTTCATCTTTGCAGAAGTGTCGCAACAAAAGACTGGAAACACCCAGCTTTACTGTGACCATACTTTCAGTCAGTTCTTACAAAAGTACCGGTACTGTGAACTGCTTTGTTGCTAGAATATGTATTTGAACAAAAGGTTGTAGTTTGTGTTTTAAAACTTGGTTAAAACTCATCAGACCAGAGGGACAACTAAGTGCTATAAGGGACAACTTGTGTAATAACAATCTGCTTCTGTTGCACAAATGGAGTGTTAAAAATCTGTAATTACTACTTTTTATACAGGAAAAAAAAATACATATATACACACACACACATATATATATATTTATTACTTAAAAATAATACTGGAGTATAATGCAGTATATACAGTATAATATACTGTATGTTATGCTTGCCAATTTGCTGAGACGTTTCGTCCTTGACTTCTTCAGTCTGAGGAGCCACAAACAAACTCCCAGCATGCCAAAATGGTTCAAAACATCAAAGTTCATGCTCAATAATCCAGGTACAAATCCACAAATGTTTAGTCAGGTCATCTGGATGGTTTCTTTTTTCTTTTTTAGGCATTTAATCCAAAGGACTTCTTCAGCTTTGAACCATTTTGGCATGGCTGCCCCAGACGAGTTAACAGTGGAGAGGGCGGGCCACAGACACCATCTTATCACCAGCTAACTGTTTTTTTTTTACCACTATGGAAGTGTGGTATTTGTGAAATCCTTTGGATGAAGAACAAAACGTCTTGGCAAAATAAAGAAACCATTCAGATGACCTGACTGAACTTTGTTATATATTATACTGTTTTTACTTTTGCTCTGGGAAGCAAACCCAAATGTTGTTGTATTTAGGTGCAATGACAATAAATGTCTATTCTATGTGATATTTATCTTCTGTCCCTGTCCTGTCTCTGGCAGCTATCCGTTACTGAGGCTTCCACTGCCCGGGACAGGTCCTGTGGAATTCACCACAGGGGTGCGAGACTACAGCGTCCCTTCTCATGAGCCTCATGGAGACCTAGAAAGGCCTGACTGGGTAGGAGAAGAAAGGGCACATAATATACACATGACATTTTTGTTTTTACCACTTTTCTGAACATTATTCATCTTTTACATTATTTTTTAAAAGCTCAAACCAATTCTAATATTAAATTTGAGTTTGCTCTCCTGAATTTACCTAAAATAAGCACAAATAGAGGCCAAAAAATAAATAGTCAGATGTACATCATAATAAAAAAAAAAACGCTAACACAAAGCAATAAACAGCCTTAAAATGGAGATGTTTTCAGTTTCGTTATTTAGAATTGGGTCATCTAAGTCTTCCCTGTGGATGTGTGTGTGTGTGTGTGTGTGTGCTGTAGTACCATGGACCTCCGGTTGCCTACATCCAGCAGGTGTTGGTGAAGGCGGCGGTGTCTCCATGGGACAGCAACCTGGTGCCGGTAGATGTGTTTCGATCGCCTCTTGGAAAAGTCTTTAGTCTGCTGGAGGAGATCCGCAACCATGTCCACACTGACAGGTGAGTACGTGCACACTTGTAGGCAACAGATAATTACTTTGGTACCTGAAATTAAATCATAAACAGAAGAAATAAAGGTAGAATCTCACTGGACTGTGACTGTTGGAGAGTTGTAGCAGCTAAAATTGTGAGAAATTATATAAAATTTTAGTTGCGGTTTCTGAATTCTGAACGTTTGTGAACACTTCCTTCTTGTTTCCAGCTCTGGCATTCGCAGCCTGGAGTCGCTGTGTCTCCAGGTGACGGACCTGTTTCCAGGGTTACGGCGGATGCAGTCGGTGCTGCCAGAACATGGCTGTCTGGTCGTCTCTCCGGGCAACTACTGGCAGAATCAGCGGGAGCTGTTCGACTCGGATCCTGACCTCCTGAAGACCATCCAGAAACATGAACCGAAAGGACTGCACACCTCGGCAACGCTGCGAGGTAAAGATCAGAAAGACCCAGAGTGGGTTAAACACACCGCCATTAGTGAATTAAAATAAAGATCAAAGGAATTGTCAAACTAGAAGTAGCGGGAACAGTAGAAAGATTCCCCTTTAACTTTTGCTCCCATTGGTCTTTTTATTTTGGTAAATTCTAACTTATTTTATTTTTGAGGGTAAGGATTTTGTTAAGCTTTAGTCTGTCAACATGCAACATAAGGCTGAGAAGTAAAGTCAGAGTGAAGTGCTTTGTTTGATGTAATCTAGAATAATTCACCATCAGTAACTGTACACAAGTAGTGAGAAAGGATTAGCCATATTTATGCTGACAGAACAAGCAGTCTCATTCCTTCGGCACTTATTGAATTTTTGAAAAACTTTACCCACTGACACACTAAATAAAGGCACCTCCCCTCCTCAAAGCCAGGTCAGCATTTTGCTTTGCCTTCCAGCACAAGTAATTTATAGGTGGGTTTTTTTTTCATAGCCTCCTGACTACCAGGAAAAATATTGTCCATGTCCAATATTGTATTATTCATAAGGAAGAGAAAGGTACCAAAGCCCACACCTTCACATTTGCTATCATTGAAAAGCCCTAAATGTCCTCTGTAGATGGCAAAAGGAGTTAATTCAGTAGTATGCTGTGGGTGGGAGATATTCAGATTTACAAATGTCCTCCAAGGAGGACAAGTTTGAACTGCTGGTAGTCGGGAGGATAGAACCAGAGTCGATAACTTCCCATCAAGATATGTAGGATCGAGTATTTTGACATTGTGCTGATGGAAAGTCATTAGTTTTTCTTTTGTAAACAACATAATTCACACCAACTGGTCCAAATGGTCGGGCTGCTGTTTAATATACCATATTATTTTTACATTGTTAGTGTTGAGCATATATCTTAGATCTTTTAGTGTACCGTTTGGCATTCGTTTAGTGTATATCTTGGTGTATACCACATTTTCCGGCATATAAGTCACAGTTTTTTGCATAGATTTGTCAGTCCTGCGATTTATACGCCGAAGCGACTTACGCAGGTTTTTCCCCCCCATATTCAGAACACAGTTTTTGACTGACGCTTTAAATTTCGAAGAACTGCACCAGCGAGTCCTCCCGCGTCCACTCGCTTCACTCAGCTGGTGCAGGCGGAGGAACAATGGTTATATGGATGAATGGATGACGCTGCACCGTCCAGGCGAAATGACGCTGTTTTGACCATTAAATAAACGCATAAAAACTCGACAGGTCAGCGGTGACTCATAATAAATGCGTTTTATACGCTCAAGTGACTTGTATATGTTTTTCCCTCTTCATTAAGCTTTTTTGGACTGATCCGACTTATACTCCGGAGCAACTTATACGCTGGAAAATACGGTATCTTATATCGTTGTATGCTGTTTCTTTTTATACTTTATATTTTTGCTTTTTTTGGGTGTAACTGGGACCTTCAGTACTCAATTTCGTTCCACCTCGTGTACCATGTGATGCGAATGACAATAAAGATACTTGAACTTGAAAATTCCACAATTTCTTTCTTAATAATACAGAGCTAGTTTACCTTTGTCTGCTGCTGTTGATCTGGTTATAGAGCAATAATCAGAGTTTTATGAGCGACGTGAATAATAAACTGGGTTTCCTCATGTGTAACAAATACTCTTGTGTTCTCCTTATTCCTGATGGGTGATTGCTGGTCACGTTAGTCATTTGCAAGACACGTGGACTGAATTTAAAGCATTTTAATATTTAGGTGAATGAGCTGCAGTTTGTGTCTTCAGCATCATAATTGTGTCTTTTTCAGATCTGCTGTTTGGCATTCTTGGAAAATACACAGGAGTCAGTCACTACAACAGGAAGAGGGTGGTGACGTACACGATCACTGTGGTTCTTTCCAGCTACGATGCAAGGTGAGCTGAACACAGTATGGATAAAAATAAAAATCTGGCCTTTCATTTATTTTTTTATATTCATTTTCTGACTTTTAAAATTGTATTAAAGTCTGCTGAAGTAACAACTCAGTGGAATGACTCCTTTGTTTCACTTGAAGGGCAATTAAATTAAATCATAAAATAATTTTCATATGTGTACTGCTGGTTTGGTTTCCCTCTGTGTGTGCAGCTCCTCATTCATTTTTATACGCTTGGTTCTTAAGCACATTGACAGATGCTGTAGAGTGATGTCGTTCTCATTAGAAGTGTTGGATTATTCTTCTGCGTGGTCTTCGTATGGTTAGTCCATTTTCCTTGTAGAAATTAAATTCACTTTTGCTGCCATAGAATAAATTAAACAAATACTTGGATTCTTCTGGTTTGCTGTCAGTCTTACACATGCCAGGCCAATTTGTCAGGTTTCCAGGCCTATTTTTCAAGTTTAATACAATAACTGCACAGCTGAGGCTTTTTGGTAAATGAACAACTCCCACTGATGTAAACTCTGCTCTGCGATTATGTGTTTAAGAAAAATAATCATTTATATATTTAAAAAGAAAAACAACTGCCTTTTAGTTGCATTTACATGATACATGACCCCATGTATTTCTTGCTCTGGCCAGTTTTATTTAGTGACACCTGGGTGTCTAAAATAGTTCATACTCAGGGGTGGCTTTGGCCCAGAGATAATAAGGTCATTTTCCAACTGAAGGATTTATGGTTCATGCCCAGACCCCCCCAGCATAAATTGTCTTTGGGCGAGACACTGAACCTCCCCGCACTGCTCCCAGTATGCATGTCAGTATATAAAAATTGTAAAGATATATTGGCTGAATGGGTGTTTAAGTGAATAAATAATGTAAAACACTTTGCAGAACTTGGAGAGGTTAAAACGGTACTCAATAGATCATTTGTCATTTTACTAGTTTGCACATTAAACAAATGATTATCTGTGTAGTAAAAGCAGTTTTTACTCTAAAGTTTGCCTGTTTTTTTTGTTTGTTGTATAAATGGTTCATTAATGAAGGCTCTAAATTGGTTTAAATCATATTTATCTGATAGATTCCAATTAGTAAATGTAAATAATGAATCTTCATACATCAAAATTAGTCATGGAGTTCCTCAGGGTTCAGTGCTTGGACCAGTACTCTTCACTTTATATATGCTTCCATTAGGTAAAGTTATTAAACCGCATGGGATAAATTTTCATATGTTGATGATACACAGTTCTATTTGTCCATGAAATCCAATGAATCCAATCAGCTACTTAGACTACAAGCATGCCTTAAAGACATAAAAACCTGGATGATACTAAATTTTCTGCTTTTGAACTCAGACAAGACTGAGGTTTTAGTTTTTGGACCTGAGCATCTTAGGAATACATTTTTCAGTCTTTCTCCCTCCTTAGATGGCATTAATCTGTCGTCCAGCTCTAATGTTAAAAATCTTGGTGTTATTTCTGATCAGGACATGTCTTTTATCCTCCACATTAAAAACGTTACTAGAACCGCCTTCTTCCACCTGCGTAATATCACTAACATTAGAAACGTCTTCTCTAAAAATGATGCAGAAAAACATGTCCATGCATTTGTCACGTCTAGACTGGACTATTGCGATGGTTTATCTGGGTGTTAAAATACTTTTTAAAAAGTCTTCAGTTGATCCAAAATGTTGCTGCCAGAGTCTTAACTGGAGTTAGTGGGAGAGATCATGTCTCTCCAGTTTTAGCTTCTCTCCATTGGCTCCCTGTCAAATCCAGAATTTAATTCAAAATCTTACTTCTAACCTACAAAGCTCTCAACAACCTAGCTCCATCTTATATTACAGATCTTATTGTTCCATATTTTCCTAACAGAGCACTTCACTCTCAGACTGCAGGTTTACTTGTGGTTCCTAGAGTTTCCAAAAGCAGAATGGGAGGAAGATCTTCCAGTTATCAGGCTCCTCTCTTGTGAAACCAACTTCCAGTTTCTGTCCGTGAGGCTGAAACATTGTCCAGTTTTAAGACTTCCTTTTTGATAAATCCTTTAGTTACGGTTGGCTTGTTATGCTGCCTTAAGCTTAGACTAATGGAGGGCAAATTGACCTCATTTCCTTAAATGAATTGTTAAAATTAAATAGTTTTCATTTGATACTATTTCTATCTTAACATGTGATTCTTGACCTGCCATTGTGTATCTGTTCCTACCAAACCCGGCCGTTTGAACCAGATGTCCTCTTGTCCTGAACCTGGTTCTGCTAAAGGTTTCTTCCTCATGAGGGAGTTCTTCCTTTCCACTGTCACCTTCATGCTTGTTCAAGATGAGAGTTCTGTGATGGAGTTAAACTCAAAGCTGCTCCTCAGATAAATAAAGTTAAATTATTATTTTTATAGGACTGTTTCTGTTCAGTGCCCTGAGACGACTTCTGTTGTGACTTGGCGCTGAATAAATGAACTGAACTAAAATTGAATTGATTTTGCCGTTTTTGTGCGTGACCAGTTTTCTCGGCAGCTTGCGGACCCGTCTGAAACAGCTTCACCCCTCCGCCAACTGCAGCTTGAGAGATGACCACATGGTTCACGTCCACTTCAAAGAGGAGATCGGCATCGCTGAACTCATTCCCCTCGTCACCACTTACATCATCCTCTTCGCCTACATCTACTTCTCCACTCGTGAGTCCAACTCCCAGTGTCGGCTCTGTGCCTCCTGCTTTCAGCAACCTCTTACCATGTTAATGTCTCGCTTTGTTCCTCGTTGGCTCGGCAAAGTTTTATTTTCGTAAAACGCCACATTCAGACCACCGCTGGCTTTTCCTTTGTGTGTGCACGTGTTTTTCTGCCAGGGTTGTTCCTGTCTGGCGCAGGGGTTGTCCTCACTCTGGAACGTTGTACACCTGTGTAAGAATGAAGCCAGCAAACCTTCAGCAGCTTCCAGCACAAACATTTGCTAAAGAGAACAAACACAGACTCAAAGTACAAACAAAGTACTCGCATTAAATATTCACTCGTGTCGATTAGTTGACTCAAGTTTAACAGTTTTTTCTGAGTTTTTCAAGATGTGATAAACGTTTTGCAAGGGTGATTTATTTACATTTAATATTAGATTTTTTTCAAGCAAATATAGTTTTTGTTTGTTTTTGTTTCATGAGTCCAGTTCAATGTTCATGTTTATTTCTCATCATGAGACTCTTAACTTGTCGTTTTTATTATCCTACCTGATTTTAGTTATTTTATTGTTATGGTTAAATTGTTTAGTTTTTATGATTCTTGAATTGTAGCACTTTGAGATTTATGAATGTAAAGTGCTCTACAAACAGAATTTATTATTATTATTATTACTATTTTTGCATCACTACTCTCCTCTTGGAGTCACTTTGTCTCCTCTGCTTTCTGTTTACAAAAAGACTACAAGAAAAACATAATAAAAACTATCTTGCTTCTGTTAGTAACTTAAACAGTGCTTTGTTTTGCTAACTCTATTTGCATAAATTAGATTTTTAGAAAAAAATAATGAAAACTTCTTAAAATTTGCATTACTTGGATAATTGCTCAAGTGAAGCCTCCTAATAGATGGATCACTACCATCATAATATAATTAACCTCAGTGTCACTCACTACCTGTGCAATAACCTGCCACACAACCTGTGTAGTATGTTAGTTATGTGCAACATATATCATGCATTTAAGCTACTATTATTACATGTTATTTATACTAATTCATCCTGCTTGCACCGTCATATTCTACCATGTTGTTGTTTACTATTCTCTTGGACCTTGTAAATATTATATTTCTTTTTCACTTTGTGGTACTTTATTTTGTATCCTTATTGCATGCTTCAGTGTTTTTTATTTTTAACGGGTCAAATCGTTTCTTCTCATCGTGAACATTTCATTGCGTTGTTGACCTTGTGTTAACCTGCACATGACAAACAACACAACATTCCTATTTGGAACATTGTGGTGAAGGTGGTTATTAGTTTCAAAAAGTTAAATACATCTTCACTTCCTTCCTTGCAGGTAAGATCGACATGGTGAAGTCCAAGTGGGGTCTGGCTCTGGCTGCTGTGGTCACAGTCCTGAGCTCTCTTCTCATGTCTGTGGGACTGTGCACGCTGTTTGGACTCACACCAACACTCAATGGCGGGTAGGAGTCCTCACTGTGTTTCATAAGTTCTGAATTAATAGGTCTGGACAACTGATGGTTTTTCACCAGTAGAGTAAATCAGGGAGAATATTAAACTTTTGTGTCCGTTTAAGACTTGCCTTTTAATGAATAATGGACCGAGTTATCTAGAAATCAAACTAACTTTAAGTGATGCTAATGATGTGTTCAGGTTCAGCTTGGAAATTGGTGAAAAATATCTCCAGTTTGGTGATCAAATTGAATGAACGCTCTCTGTTTCCTGAAAGTCTTTTATTGGTTTTGCTTTTTTAGCCATTTTGTTCAAACTTACTTGTATTTAAAACTGACTTGCACAGACTTGTATTTTTGAGAAAATAAATATAGTTTTTGTTTTAAATCAGCATGTTTAGTTCCTGTGAAGTGTTGAAGTCGTTTTACTTTTATCTAATTGGGTTTAGATATTTATTATCAATTGCTGTAATGCAGTTAGTAGAAGATATAGCAAATGCAATTGATAAAAAAAAATATATATACTGTGGGAGTGTTTATAGACTTTAAAAAAAGCATTTGACACTATAGATCATGAATTCTACATAAATTGGAGAAATATTGTGTTAGAGGTATTGCATATTCTTGGATAAAAAGTTATCTGAATCAAAGACAACAATATGTACAAATAAATAATGTGAATTCTGATTTATTAGAGGTTACCTGTGGAGTACCACAAGGCTTGGTGCTGGGACCTAAACTTTTTTTTACTTTACATAAAGGATATATGCAATAGCAGCACAGTGGCGCAACTGGTAGAGCTGCTGCCTCTCAGCGAGAAGGTTGCCGATTCAAATCCCGGTCCTTTCTGGGTGGAGTTTGCATGTTCTCTCCGTGCATGCATGGGTTTTCTCCAGGTACTCCGGTTTCCTCCCACAGACCAAAAACATGCATGTTAGGCTGATTGGTAACTCTAAATTGTCCCTAGGTGTGAGTGAGAGAGTGAATGGTTGTTTGTCTCGTTTGTCTCTGTGTGTCCCTGTGATGGACTTGCGATCTGACCAGGGTGTACCCCACCCCTCGCACAGTGATTGCTGGATATGGGCACTGGCGACCCACGTGACCCAAAATGGAAGAAGTGGGTAAAAGATAATGGATGGATATATGCAATGAATCGAAGTTTTTAACATTTACATTGTTTGCAGATGATACTACTTTATATTGCTCAGGTAATAGGAGCAGATCCTCAGTATAATGGAAGGAGAATTACAAGTATTAAAACAATGGTGTGACAAAAATAAATTATCACTAAATTATAATGAAACAAAATTGTAATAACAAGAAAATAAAAAAATAATGTAAACTTATTTAACATTATCTATAACCGTATCGAAATAGAGTGAGTGTATGAAATCAGATTTTTGGGGGTGATACTTGATTACAAATTGCACTGAAAAGCGCATATTGATAAAGTAAAAGCTAAATTGTCAAAAACTGTTGCAATACCGAATAAAATAAAACCTCTCCTAAATAAGAAATCACTTTACATGTTATGCTGTTGTTTCATATTTCCATACATGAATTATTGTGTTGAGATCTGAGGAAACTCGTATAAAACCAACACAAAACCTGTTTACACCCAGAAGAAAACTATCTGAATTATATCCAATAATTCTCAGTCAGGTCATCTGGATAGTTTATTTTTTATAGAGACGTTTCGCCCTCTATCCGGAGGGCTTCATCAGTCAGAGGAGTTCCAGTAAACTGTTTCCCCACCAAGCAGTCAATTCCTTAAGCGGACCAACCAGTTTGCTGGAGCTAAGAAGGTTTCTGGGGCCATCCTGTCCCTCGTCGTCGACTCCCAGGCCGGCAGCCACAGCCAAAGTGGTTCAAGGCAACAAGGTTCATGCACAATCATCCAGGTACCAAATCCAATAATTCTCAGTCGGGTTATCTGGACAGTTTCCCGACTGAGAATTATTGGATTTGGTACCTGGATGATTGAGCATGAACTTTATCTGAATTATAACTGCGTCTGATTACTTTCATCCAACTAAAGAGATATTTCTTACATTGCATATTTTAAAATTTTATGACTTGGTAGAACTCAGAACAGCACTGATTATGTACAAAGCCTATAATAAACTCCTTCCAAGGTGTATACAAAAGTGGTTCAAAATTAAAGAGAAAAACTATGATTTACAAGAGAAGGATTTATTTAAAAAAATCAAAGGTTAGGACAAATATTAAAAACAACTGTACTTCAGTTAGAGGGATTCAGGTGTGGAATAGTTGTCGTCAGGAGTTTCAACTGTGTTTTTCACTCTTTAAACAAAAAAATGTATAAAAAACATTTACTAAACAAATATAATAAGGTTTGATTGTTTTTTTCTTTTTTTGTGTTTTTTTTTTTGAGTTTGTCTATGAATGTAGCTGGAATTCCTTGATATGTTTTAGTAAATTATATAGGAAAAACTCTACTGCTTTGATTTTGATGTATAACAAAGTGAAGGTATAATAAGCTTGTGCTTCTACCTACACTTTTGTTCGGTCTACACTTTGTGTTTTTTGTGTTCTTAATTTATTTACGAAACTGGTTTGGTTCAGAATTTGTATGTAAATTTAGGGACAGGACTGGATAAGCCATTGCTTCTTCCTGCTCCCTTTTCGAACATTGTTGTTTTGTTTCCAGAATATTTTGGTGGAAATATTTATGGTTTTTATTTGTTTATGGTTTTGTTGAAATTTTTAACAGTTCGAAATGAAATAAAGAATTAATTAAACCCAAGTAATAAATCTATATCAGTCTAATAATAATTTTTTTAATTTTTTATTTTAGAACTATCATTTAGTTCAGTTGTAATGTTTTGACTTGTGATTTATATTTATAAAAGCTAATGAAATCCCGATCAGCTTTACTTTGTTTTTACAAAGTTAACATAAAAAAACCACTGTTTAGCTTCTAGTTTGCCTTTGGACCAGTGCCTGCAGCTGGTACAGGGTCTCCTTAAAGCTGTTTATTGACATTCCAATGTTTAAGTCAATATTTTAAGTCAACATTAAGTAACAACTTGCTAACTACCCAGAAGGCTGTTACATTTTATTCTGTTTGACTTAAGTCACAATAGCTCCAAGACCGTTCCACTAACTTACCTGTGTGCACACATTCTCCACATTACTGACTTCCCACTTCCTCTGTGTGGGTTTCTGCATTGATTTGAGCCGATGTTTACAAGAGGAGCTCAAAAGGTCAGTGTGTAAGTGTTGACAGAGAAAGAAGCGCTGGGTGTGGAATTGGGTTGGACTACTGCGAGAGGAGGAGATATAGTGATGTTCACATTCCTGGAGCAACCAATCGCTTGCGGCTCTGTAACGAGCAGACATCATGGCGTGACGATGACACCTGGTTGTCCAACCACTGGCGAAGATGCATGCGAGTCCGTCGTGGGCTGAGCGTGGGCTGTGTGCGTTTACACAAACACAAATCAAGGTCGGCATAAGCAAACTATAGAATACCAGAGCAGCCTCCTGCCATAACATCAAATAATAATCTCATTAATACCAAGATGTTCACTTTATTTATTTTTATTTTGTCTCGCACCACTTGGGTACCAAAATCTCTGAAAGTCAAACGGGTTGTTTTAGTTAAATCATGCTTAAAAAAAAAAAAAAAAAATTCTACGGTTGTTGGAACCGGCGACACATTCTGCTTGTTCACGGCTGGCTCCACAGTTTAGTTTGCTGTGTGTGTGTGTGTGTGTGTGTGTGTTACTGTGTGTGTGTGTGTGATGTAATACGTAGAGCCGTTGACTCCTCTGTGACCCAGTTATACACTTACCTCTAAAGCTCAAGCTTATCTGCGCTCTCAAACTAATCGTTTGTCAAACTTTGTCAGGGCAGGAAATTCCAGTAATCTACCTAACTAATAGTATCTAACTAATTTCATAATATAAATAAATAATAATAAATAATGATAATTGTATTTATCTGATAGATTCCAATTTGTAAATGTAAATAATGAATCTTCTTCATACACTAAAATGAGTCATGAAGTTCCTCAGGGTTCAGTGCTTGGATAAATACTCTTTACCTTGTATATGCATCCATTAGGTAAAGTTATTAAACAACATGGGATACATTTTCATTGTTATGCTGATGGTACACAGTTATATTTGTCCATAAAACCCAATGAATCCAATCATCCTTAAAAATAAATAAATAAAATTAATTCTCTGTTGAAATATTTTCTCCTTGCAGCGAGATCTTCCCTTACCTGGTGGTGGTGATCGGCCTGGAAAACGTGTTAGTTCTCACCAAATCTGTCGTTTCTACTCCTGTTGACCTTGAGGTCAAACTCCGTATTGCTCAGGGTAGGGTTTTATTTTTTTTCCTGTATTTTGATTGAAATTAAAGATCATAAAAAGCTTCAAGTTTTGCCCTTTGCTTCCCCAGGCCTTAGTAATGAGAGCTGGTCTATCATGAAGAACATGGCTACTGAGCTGTGCATCATTCTCATTGGATATTTCACACTGGTGCCGGCTATCCAGGTAGAAAATATACTTTAATTGTTGCCTTTGTGTAAGAAAATGCTCGTTGAACATTTTTTAATTTGCTATGCTACAACTGCGTATCTGTTTAAATGAATGAAGCAGCAAAAGGATTGAGAGAAAAAGTAACCTGGCTTTTGATTTTACAGGAGTTCTGTCTTTTTGCTGTCGTGGGACTGGTTTCCGATTTCTTCCTGCAAATGTTCTTTTTTACAACAGTGCTATCTATAGATATCCGCCGCATGGAGGTGAGAGCTATTTTCATATTTTACACATTTCCAGTGCACTTCCAGTTACAGCCTCAAACCCCAGACTTATTAAGCAAAAGAGCACATTAGCTTGTTGGTTTAGTTTGTTATTTGTACTGAAACTAACAAATCAATAGTCAGGATGCTTTATTGTTGATGTGGGTTGTCTAAACTGTGGTCAAATGTTGCACATTTTACATAATTTCTCTCACCAACATTGCTTGTTTCTCGTTTGTTCCAAAGTGCGTGCGTTGAAGTAAACCTTGGTGATGAAGTCATTAGTATATGACTTTGTTCACAAAACTCAAATTAACATTTAACATACAAGTCATGCACAAAATAAGACATGCAAGAGGTTGGATGGTGGTCACAGCCCTACATAACGTGACCGCACAGTTGTCAGGTTACTACTTTGACACATGAGCCTTTCTTAGTAAAACCTTTGGATAATCCAACAATGGTCAGTCAGGTCATCTGGACAGTTTCTTTTTTGTTGTTGTTGTTGAGAGACGTTTCGTCCTCCATCCGAAGGGCTTCATCAGTTAAAAAAAATAATAAAACCTGTCCAGATGACCTGACTGACCACTGTTGGATTTATTTTACCTGGATTATTGAGCATGAACTTTGATGTCTTGAACCACTTTGGCTGTGGCTGCCTGCCTGGGAGGAGTCAACAGGGGAGAGGACAGCCCCCAGAAACCATCTTATCACCAGCAAACTGGTTGGTCCACTGTAGGAGTGTAGTAGTGGGGAAACGGTTTGTTTGGGACTCCTCAAACTGATGAAGCTCTTTGGATGGAGAGAGAAACCTCTCTCAACAACAACAAAAAAAATGAAACTGTCCAGATTGCCTGATTGTTGGATTTTTTTTTTAACCTGAATTATTGAGCATGAACTTTGAGACCTTTGGATAATGTTGAGCTTTTTGTTCTCGATAGGCACATCCCACTGTTTTAAATGCACAAAGATGTAGTATCAATTAACGTTCAATAATCAGATGATGATGATCTTCTGATTGCAAAGCCTATTAAATGTCAGGAAACAGTGAAATCATTGTCTATTAGTTTTCCAAAACCCATTGTCTTGTTTTCAGATTTGTTTTTTCCAGTCAGAAGTAATAAAATCTGTTGTCTCCTCAGATAAATTATTATTAACTAACTTTTTATGTATGTGAATGTTTCTGTTCAGTGCCCTGAGACGACTTCTCTTGTGACTTGGCGCTATATAAATAAACTGAATTGAACTGAATTGAATTAAAACCAACTTTAAACAGGAAATGAAGAGGCCTTCATTTAAGAAAGTAAAACCATTGATGAACTCGATTAGTCCTAATGGGTAAACTACTTCTCGAACCTGCCTGTCTCCCCAGCTGGCTGACCTGAACCGCCGCCTGCCAGCCGAAGCTGGTCTTCCCCCTCCAAAACCAGGCCCCTTGCGACCACGTGAGGTCCCCCCTCCACCACGACCGTCCCCACACACAATTACCCTGCAGACCCCAGCCTTCAGGAACCTGAGGCTCCCCAAGAGGCTACGAGTGGTTTACTTCCTGGCTCGGACACGTCTGGCTCAGCGGATCATCATGGTGAGAAAGATTTGAAATTCCTTTCTGAATGTTCTGTTTCTTTTCTGGGACTTATGATGATGTTTATACTCCATTTCCAGGCTGGCACAGTGATCTGGATCGGCATCCTCGTCTATACCGACCCGGCAGGGATTCGGACCTACCTGGCTGCACAGGTGTCCGAGCAAAGCACTCTAGGAGACCCCGGAGGAGGTGGTCTGCCCCCCCACCTGGCAGTAGTGCCTGTTTTTCGCGGTGGGGATCCTACCAGCACCTTGAGCATCCACTCTGCACCTGATCCAACTCCCTTACCTGAGAACCAGTCACAGGGCCACCACGGCTCAGCCAGAGGAGGATCTCTTCCCCTGGCCCCACCCGCTGTCCCTCAGATCTCCTGGGGGGTTGAGGATGATGAAGGATGGAGGAGATTGTCTTTCAGGCACTGGCCATCACTTTTCAGCTACTACAACATCACTTTAGCAAAGAAGTGAGTGGTGCAGATTTGTTTTCATTTTTTCAACTTATTTCTCGGTCATTAGCTGAAGAAAATAGATAATAAAAAACTTTAGGTAAAACGTTGAGACTTTAATTCAGGGCTTTTGTGTTTGGACCATTTGTAAAAAAATATTAGGAAATGTAACTGACCATCATCATATGTCATTTAGTTATAATCAAACGTTCTTAGATTAGTATAGTTGTCTTTTCATTAAAACATACGCCAACTCTACAAATAAAACCTTTTCTTTAAAATATTTTTTTCTGGCTTACAGTTCTGTCATTTTGAAATAATGAATAATAATCAGAGGCTTCTTCTTTTAACGCAACTTAAAATTCATGTTAAATTCTGACAGATTTTTGCACTTAGTCGATGCAGATTCAAGCCTGACTCATTATCTTCTTCAGTTACTGTCAGACAGCAGCTCTAATTTAACTTAAAAGATTAAAAAAATCAATGCACACCAGCATAAGTTGCATCTGCTGCTTCTTTAACAGATGAATGTGTTTTTGTTTGTTTTAGCAAAGTTTTATTCTTCTGTTCATTTCATGTTTTTATTCTTTGCTGTTTTTAGGTACATTAGCATCTTACCTGTCATTCCTGTCACCATTCACCTGACTCCCCAGGAGGCCATTGACATGCGCCACCCTCAGGATACCAGACACCCTCCGCCCCCCATCCCCAAAGTCTCTGTAGATTTACAGACGGACCTCACCCTCTACAAGTTAGTACATCTTCACTGCTAAAAAACTAACTTAATCTTAAGAGCGACTCCATTCGGCTCTCGTCTTATCGTTCTTCTCAGGTGGAGGTGATTTGCCGCTGTGACTTGTTTCCCCGCTCTGTGGGCGGGTTCGTAACAGGTCATTGTGTTTGAGCTATTCCGCCCGTTGTGATCCTTAATCGCCCTATAATCAGACTTCGATTTCTTTGGCTTATCCCGGCATTGCGTGTAAGTCCAGGTGTAGCCATTCTGCATCATCATCTCCAACGTCTCTCTGTAAATGCGCTCATTTCTTGTGGCGCCGTCCGTCATCACGATCAGAGAGGAAATGGAGGCTCAGATGTAGTTTTCAGTTTTGCTGGGTGGGTCATACAGAGATGTATCTCCGCTGACCAATCAATGGCTGCTGTCTGCTTGTGTCAAAATCTTGGTGCAGCCCGCTTGGAACCTCAAACAACATGGTCCCACAAACTGGGCTGAGTGGGGCTGGGTACCAACAATGGGCTGACCCTAACTGGTGTGGAACTGATGAGAGTTAAGACGGTGACAAAGCACAACTAGTTGTTCTAAAGTAGATTTTTTTTACATAATTGGATAAGACTTTAATGACATCTGGACAGAGAAAAATGATAAAGAAACGTGGTGGTGGAACAATGAAGTACAGGAAGTTATCCAGAGGAAGAGTTCAGCCAAGAAGAAATGGGACAGTGAGAGGACTGACCAGAAATTTAGGGAGATGCAACATAGGGTGAAGAGGGAGGTAGCAAAGGCAAAGCACAATCAATCAATCAATCAATCAATATAACTTTATTGTCCATAACATCCTATGAGATGGAGACTTATCTTTAACATCTGACTCATACAAACAAAACAACACAAGTTAAAAATGCCATAAACTTTTAAAAGGCTTTGCTAATCCAGTAAAAAACATTCTAAAATACACGATACACTGATACATTAAAAACGTAAAAACATCCCAGCAGACAACGGTTTGTCATGTGAGGCTATGTTTATATAGGACTCTATTAAGGACATTCACAGCAGGGGTACCAAATGCCTTTTTGTACCCAATTTTCTTTACCAGAGGAACCATCAGTCTTCTGCCAGATAGTACCAACCTGAATAATGGTTGCAGTGGATGAGCTGGGTCAATTTAAACCTGTATTGCCTTTTTTTAAGAACCTGACTACACTTGTTACCTAGTTTGACCAGCCAGGACAACTTATAGGCATATGTTGAGTTGTATGGGATATGGGAGGCTGGATGTTAAACAGGGCAAGAAGGACTAGTATCCATTGGTGAGACAGAGGGATCAGGCTGGAAAGGATGTGCAGCAGGTTAGGCTCGTTAAAGATAGCAATGGTAATGTTCTAACAAGTGAAGAGAGCATGATGGGAAGATGGAAGGAGTACTTTGAGGAGCTAATGAATGAAGAGAATGAAGGGGAACGAATAGAGATCAAAGAAACTGTAGACCAGGAAGCAAGAAAGGTTAGTGAGGCTAAAGCTCCAAAATACAACTTCCAGGAAAAATGGTAAATGGACTGTACTTGTATAGCACCTTTCTATCTTAAGACACACAAAGTGCTTTACACTACAATCTGTGCCTCATTTATCCATGCATACAGCACTCTACTAGATCTCTAGAAACCTAATTGAACAAATCATTCTAAAGAGAATAATCAGTGCTTTGGATCACATTCATACACTGAAGGGACACATCGGAGGCAATGAAGGGTTCAGTGTCTTGCCTAGGGACACTTCGGCATGTGACTGCTGATGGATTCAAACCCCCAACTCTTGCATTAGAGGATGATTGCTCTGACCACTGAGTGGTTTATAAAGAAAAAAACAAAGTCCACATCAGGTATGGATGCCGTTAGAGAGAACATGGAGGTAGTTGGAGTGAGGACAGTGGACACAGAAAACAGATGTAGGATGACGACTCCCTGTGGTGACCCCCAAAGAGGGAACAGTCCAAAGAAGATACTTTATTTTCCAAGGAACTTTTTCTAGTGCTCGTCACACTGAACATTTCTGAAAGAAATTGAAGCAAAGGTATTAATGATGGGCTGATACTTGTTGGATGTAGAGCTTGGTTTATAACATAATCATGCTCCTTATCATTTTTATACCTGTTTCACATGTGAACCTTATTTTCACTGCAGCTATACATTTTGAACTAAAGCATCTGCTGTTTGTGGATATCTTATTATCACATTGCTAAAAAATGTAGTCTAACCATCGAGGCGTCTTTGTTTCCAGTGTTTGCTTTTCTCTTGTAGCTGACCATACATTTTTTGTTTGTGTCGTTTAAAAACAATGCATTTTGTAATCATTCCCTATTTAAAAGAAAGTCTCACACAAATGAACAGTGGCCACATGCCCTTGACCTAGAATGAAGTCCAAGGCCATGTAGATTGTCCCAGCAGATTGAAGGCCAAATTTTGATAGGAAACAACTGTGCCAAGTTTATTGTTAAATTGTCTCGGGTCCTTTGTAGATTACTTCTGACAAATATTCCTTGATGCTTTGAAGACTAGAAGAGTTATTAGGTTGGGTGATGTAAAGTTAATGCAGTGTACTTCAACTTTTTCCCAGAAAATGTGCGTATTATTTATTTATTAACCTTTATTTAAGCAGGCGAATCCCATGAGATCACAGATCTCTTTTGCAAGGGAGGCCTGGGCCTGAATGCAACCTGACATGAATGTGTTTGGACTGTAGGAGGAAACCCACACTAACACGAGAAGAACATACAAACTCCACACAAAGACTCCAGATCCAACCGGGGATTGAACCCAGCACCTTCTTGCTGTGAGGCAACAGTGTTAACCACTGAGCTGTCGTGCCGCCTAAGCACGATGGAAATGAGGGAGTGAATATGATGACATGGTTTTGACTTGAAGTTCAATGCGTCTCATTGTTGTTTATCTTATCTCAGGCATTAACTGAGTCTAAGAAACAATAAAAAAAGAGGTGACATCATCCATTATCTCTTTCTTTAGCAAGTATTTACTCTTTGACGGAACAAGTCTGACCAGCTGGTTGCTCACAAAATCTACATGAGGCATTCGGGTGTGGGAGAAGGGGCTTAATCCTCCTGAGAAACTTTGTCCATACGGTGGAATGCATTTAAAAAAAAATCAGATTTCTCAGACTTTGTTGTAGGTGGAGAACCTTGTATGATAAATTTGACATTGTTATATAAAAGACACAGTTGCTTCTTTAATTGTATCAGTTTGAACCAACAATAGTTGTGCAAGGGTTATATAAGGCAGCGTATTGTCCCATGACTGCAGTCCACTGAAGTGGAAGATCTTCCTTTTATCTGTGGCCAGTAGATGTGAAGGTTTTTAATGTAATTGGGTTAAGGTGGAGACCCTCACAGTTGGGAGGAGGCAGCTGGCAGAGGGCCAGTGAGATAAAAAACTCAGAGCTAGATTTACTGCATGTTTTAGCACATGTTGTGAAATCTGTTATCACAAGAATATTTATTTAATACAGAGCCATACAGCATGTTCACCTTTGTTAGAATGCTTATTTGACTTTGTTTAGTTTTGTAGTCAAGTCACATTTATTTATATAGCACATTTAAACAGTAACTATCAAAGTGCTTACCAAAAAAGATCACAGCATCAAATATTAATAACAAGATATTACAGCAACATAAATAAAAGCATAAAAACAGAGTAAAAGCAGTGTTTATTTCCTGATCAGCACAGCCGGCCTCATAACTTGTCTTCACCTACTACTTCATCGGTATTTAGATGTTTGATTTACCAATATGTTGATGTTTAAAGAATTAGGGATGCACAATATTATCGGCATGGTATCAGTATCGGCCGATATTAGCGATAAAGTTAAATATCGGAGATCGGCCATTCCATCAAAATAACTCGCCTATAAAAAAAGGCGCAGTTTTTTTTTTACACAATTTTTGTAGCAAATGAGCTTAAGAGAGCCAAGCTCTGACAAAGGAAAGAAGCTGACGATATTTTTTGCACTTTTGATTTTATTTGCAAATGGCAGAATGCAACAAGATTTGATCGTTGATTGTATAACCACGCTTCTGTTTAAGTTAATTTTTAATTGAAGACATTGTCAAGTATATCTATTAATGCACTACTACTTATGTGCTTTTCACTTGTCGCTTGTGAACAGGTTGAGTTTAGATTTGTGACAATTTACAAATTTGCACTGTTCGAGTCTTGTCATTGTGTTAGAGTAAATGTCAGAAATAAATTTATAGGGATGCACGATATTGGATTTTTGGCCGCTATGCCAATATGATAAAATATATTTGGCTGAAACTAGGACTGCTATTTTTTCCCCTAGACCTACTTCCATAGACTACATATCTTTCTCTGCTGTGGAATTAAAATACTGCATTATTCTGCATGGTCTTTGTCAGTTTGGCCGGCTACCAAATGCAGATGCCAAAAAGGGGGCTGAAAATGATTTAACATTTCAACTTTATTATTTATTCATGACATTTACTCTCTCTAACTCAATGACAACACTCACAATTCAAATTTGAAAATTTTCACAAATCTAAACTCAACGGCGCTCGTGACTTCATAACGTTGTGCTGGCACTGCAGGCATCCCTGTCACTGGGTTGTCATACAACAACAGCGCCCGCCTTTAATATCAGTGAGTTATTTTGATGGAATGGTCGATCTCCGATATTTAATTTTATCGCTAATATTGACCGATACCATGCCGATAATATCGTGCTTCCCTATAAATTTGATATTAAACATAATCCAAGTTGAAGTGTTACATCATTTTCAGCCCCCTTTTTGGCATCTGCAATTGGTAGCAGGCCAGATTGTCAGATACCATGCAGAATAATGTAGTATTTTAATTCCAGAGCAGAGAAAGTTATGTAGTCTATGTAAGTAGGTAGGGGAAAAACTATCGGTATTGGTATCGGTTATCGGCCGCATAAGTTTTAACAGATATCGGCCAAAAATCCAATATTGTGCACCTCTAAAAAGAATATTAAACTTTATTTTCTCATGTTAAAAATGAGAAGTTTTTCAAAAAGTAATGTCAGTCTAGGAGAAGTAGTTCACAAACCATCTAAATAATGAACCTTTCCAATCGTCCTTCAGGCATAAACAGCTACAAAAACAGGATTTTAGTGACTGTTTGCTTTTGGGCAGAGAGTTGAAAAACAAATTTGGGCATTTCAGGTTATTCTTTAACAGTCTAGTTTTTCATTATGGGGCCATTAAATGTCTAATTTTAAACATAATCTACATAGCTTTATTCCTTTACAGTTGAGTTGTCTGTTTTTAAGTAGTCATAGTTTTATAGCTCTATATATTCCCTATTGTTTTGATCAATGAAGTCCTTTATATTTTACTGATTTTATTTCTTATATGAATGTTGATCGATGACAGCTGAACAGATGAGTTGTGTTAAAATGTGCCTTATTGTTTTATAACAAATGACTATAAAGTTCTGTTCTATTTAAGAGTCCAAAACGGTCTTACCTCTAGTATCGGTCATACATCTAGTATCGGTCTTACCTCTAGTATTGGTCCTACCTCTAGTATCGGTCCTACCTCAAGTATCGGTCCTACCTCTAGTATTGGTCATACATCTAGTATCGGTCTTACCTCTAGCATCGGTCCTACCTCAAGTATCGGTCATACATCTAGTATCGGTCCTACCTCTAGTATCGGTCCTACCTCTAGTATCGGTCTTACCTATAGTATCGGTCCTACCTCTAGTATTGGTCTTACCTATAGTATCGGTCCTACCTCTAGTATCGGTCCTACCTCTAGTATTGGTCATACATCTAGTATCGGTCTTACCTCTAGTATCGGTCCTACCTCAAGTATCGTCATACATCTAGTATCGGTCTTACCTCTAGTATCGGTCCTACCTCTAGTATCGGTCCTACCTCTAGTATTGGTCTTACCTATAGTATCAGTCCTACCTCTAGTATTGGTCCTACCTCTAGTATTGGTCTTACCTCTAGTATCGGTCCTACCTCTAGTATCGGTCCTACCTCTAGTATCGGTCTTACCTATAGTATCGGTCCTACCTCTAGTATTGGTCTTACCTATAGTATCAGTCCTACCTCTAGTATTGGTCCTACCTCTAGTATTGGTCTTACCTATAGTATCGGTCCTACCTCTAGTATCGGTCCTACCTCTAGTATTGGTCTTACCTCAAGTATCTGTCTTACTTCAAGTATCTGTCTTACTTCAAGTATCTGTCTTACCTCTAGTATCGGTCCTACCTCTAGTATCGGTCTTACCTCAAGTATCTGTCTTACTTCAAGTATCGGTCCTACCTCTAGCATCGGTCTTACCTCAAGTATCGGTCTTACCTCGACTATCGGTCTTACCTCAAGTATCGGTCTTACCTCTAGTATCGGTCTTACCTCAAGTATCAGTCTTACCTCTAGTATCGGTATATTTATCAAATATTATGGCTCACTGGAAGAGGCTGCAAAATTATAAATTTTTCTGCCTTCAACAACTAAATGTTTTTTTAAACAAACTTTTACATCTTTTCCAAACCGTGTTATAATGAAATTCTTATGTACAGATTTACGCAACACTTGTTTCTTGTTTGAAGCCTCCGTTGTCTTTCCTTCCATCCAGGGTGGCAGCCCTGGGCCTGGCTGCAGGCGTCCTGCTAGTTCTTCTGCTCTTCTGTCTCTACCGAGTTCTGTGCCCTCGTAACTACGGCCAGAACGGTGTCTCTCATGGGCGCCGGCGGCGAGGCGACCTGCCCTGCGACGATTACGGTTATTCACCGCCTGTCAGCGAGATCTCGCCGCTTCTGCTAAGGGGCCACAGCATGGTGAGAACTGATTCAAAGAAATGAATTTTAAAAAATCTAGTTGGAGGATAACAATGTGCTGGATGACAAAAATAATAGTTTTTATGAAATCTGTTTAGACTTGTGCTCTGCCTTTCTGTTTTGCAGGACATTGAGTGTTTGGCCAGTGATGGGATGCTGCTGGCCAGCTGTTGTCTGGCTGGACAGATCCGTGTTTGGGATGCTCAGACTGGAGACTGTCTGACTGTCATTCCAAAGCAAGGGTGAGGCCAAAACTGTTTTATTTTTATTTTTTCGCCTCTTTGTTTTGATTTTAGTTTGGATTTTGGAATAATCACTTACCGTAATTTCCGGTCTATAAGCCGCTACTTTTTTCACACCCTTTGAACCCCGCGGCTTATACAATGCTGCGGCTAATTTATAAATTTTTTTGTTGTTTTTGAAGGGCTAACGAGCTTCCTGCCACCAAAAACATTTAGCCATGTCACACTCAGGCGCTCACATAGCTGCCAAATACACGTCTGTCTTGGGGGGTGGGTCCTCTTGACTCAGTGAGACTACCAGTATAATAAAGTTTTTTTTTTAAATCTGACCAATGAAATTACCGAACAGGTCACAGTCGAACCAATGAAACGAGGAGGGGGGAAATCCTGCATGCGAGCACAAGCTTGCAGCGGGAGGAATATGAAAATAACGATCAATAACTTCCTGGTAGGCTACTGTATTTGTTTCGACAACGAAAGAGAGACTGAGGTCGTGTGTGAAGTTTTCCTGAGGCTGTTCAACTCTGACACTGAAGAAGACGACTTTAATGCTTTTAATGCACAGGAGGAAGATGAACATAGCAATAAGTGACTTTTCCTGGTAAATGACTGTATTATTATATATATATATATATATATATATATATATATATATATATATTTTTTTTTTTTTTTTTTTTTTTTTTTTAACTAGCCGTGTTAAAGACATTGTTCAGAAAATAAACATTTACTGTACGTTTTTGTGTGTTACCGTTACGTATTTAATTAAAAGTAAAAAAAATAAATAAATCTGTGTAAATCTCTCATGTTACAATGTGGACACCCGCAGCGTATATATTTACGTTTTATTTTGTATGCACGGCTTATACAATATTCGGGTGCGCTCTATAGTCTGGAAATTACGGTACTTTTTTTGTAAGAAAGTTCTTGGGACTACTGGGTGTATTTTTTTTTGTCTAAAAGTGGTTTAAGTAATTATTTTAAAATATTTTTCCACAGTATTTTGTAGGTGCACATTTACATCTTTATCTAATATGCCAAAATACTCTTTAAATATTTAGAATTGATGTACTAAGCAGACCTAATATGTACTTAACGCAGAAAGAAAACTTTCTACATTTTAGTACATATTTCTGATCTGTGATTTAGTAAAACAAACTTGGTAAGCAGTAGATGTTTTGTTTTGTCTCTGTACTTAACTGAGCTCTGTTTTTCTTCAGATTAAGGCGGAGCAGCAGCAGTGGCTGCTGGGAGCAGAGAGACGTTTGGGACAATATAAGCGGCACCACCGAGTCGGACTGTGAACCTCGAGACCCCTCCATCTGCTGCGACGGGATACCGGAGGACAAGAGTTACCCTCTGAGATGCCGCAGCTCACCTACCCGCCCGCCTCTGTTCACCGACCAGCCCGATCTGACGCCGCTCATCGACACCAACTTCACCTCCCAGCCACCGTGCAACCCCTCCACACCACCCAGAGGAGGCTTTGACTTTGGAGGACTGGTGGAGCGTGCCTACATGGAGCACGAGTCCCCATCACCTTCCACCTACCCCTCTGCTTCCTCAGCCTCCTCCTCACCTCCTTCAGGAGCTCAGGTCCAGAGGAGTCCAAGCTTAGGGGACTCAGCTGGGCTCTTGAACCCAGAGAAAGACTCTGTAACTGGGACACAAGCATCAGCAGCGTCTGGAGACTGGGAGAGTGCTGTCTGGGCCATGGAACTGAGAGGGAACCTGATAGCTGCTGGAAGGAGCAGCGGCAAACTGGAGGTGTGTGAAACGGTACCTGTCAGAAAACTCCGTTTATATTGACATCAAGCATTTACTGGTCTTCCAACTGGTCTTTGTTGTAAAACAACAGTAACCATTTCTTGTATATTTGCTGCAGCTGTGGGATGCAGTTGAAGGGTCTCTGCGGTGCAGTAATGAAGATGGAGTCTCTGGGATCACAGCTCTGGCCTTCCTCAACAACAGGTAAACACCAACTAAAACATCCTGAACTGCTTTTAATTTTGTAAGTTGTTGATTTAATTTTCACATATAAATGTAAATACTGTATTTTCAGCCTAGAAGTCACGTTTTTTTGCATAATTTGCATACCCTGCGATTTATACGCCGAAGCGACTTATTTATGGATTTTTTTTTCACATATTTATAAACCAATTGTTATCTGACCGTTTTCATTCATTCTGACTGAATATATTGAACACTACCATTTTTATTTATTTTTATTATTATTTTGAATTTATTCATTCAATTAAAAAACTAAATAAAACAAATTAATCAAAAATGAAAAAAACATTGACTGAAAAGGGTGCAGAACGAAGGAAAAAATCTTAATATCCACCCCTTGTTTAAAAAATATATAAAATAACTACAAACAAACAGCAACCTATGCGTGAACAATCTCCAAAGTGAAAACAAAAAACAGACATCTTTCACCTGGCACCATACCTTCCCAACAACTTTACCTTAAATCATCTTTTAAACATAAATGGTTTTAAAAATTTTATGGTGATATTGAGGCAAATCCATAATCCTGTTCCTCGAATTACAACACAGCGCTACTTCAGACAAGTTCTAAATCTAAATCTAAATTTTCAGCCGCTAGATGGCACTCGAGTAGTATGGCATGCCATTGTATCATGTAATAGGTAAAAGTGGCTATTAATGACACAATCGGCTTGCCGTGGTTGCACAGTCGTCCAGCTTGCTTGAAGCAACCGTCAAATCAGCTTCATTTCGCTGCACCGCACCGGCAAAATGCAGCTGATTTCACCATTAAAGTGCATTTATTAAGTAAAAGTTCAACTGAGACACTTTTGATACAAAGTGGAGCAAACAAATAATTGTTTTTAAGTGTTAATCTGTTAAATTCTTGTTAAAGTCCTCCCGTGCACGCTCCCGCAGCCGCCATTTGGCAGCCAATCGATTATTGGCACAACACCAGCCCACGTTTCCGGGTTGTCAGTGATGATGCATAATAGATGCGACGTAATCGGCGAAGCAACGTATTTATGGATTTTTCCAGTTTTTAAGACGTATTTTAATAAGCACTTTGGTTGGCCTTGTAGCTGTTTTAAGTGCTCTATAAATAAAATGGTATGGTATATTTGGACTGATGTGACTTATAGGGCGGTGCAACGGCAGAAAATACGGTACTCACAGTTTTATCAGTTGTAGATAAGTTGATGACAAAAATTAAAAAATAATACTGTATGTAGTAAATCCACACCAATTAGCATATTATAAATAACTACCTTTGTTTACATTTACTGGATATAATATTATGCTAATTTCAAAACAAAGTGTCCCAGTTTCTTGTTTGAAATGAAGTAATGCATAAATAAATTCCTGACACTTTGTTCTGAAATGTTTTTCTTCTCAGAATTGTGGCGGCTCGGCTGAACGGGTCCTTGGATTTCTTCACAGTTGAGATCAACAAACCTTTAGGCCTTCTGCAGTACAGAGGTAAGACTTTATTACATCCATCTTTCAATCTTTTTAGTTTTTCTTTAGCTTTTAAAAAGACACCTTCAGTTTTCACGATTCAGGGGCCACATCCCTCTGCGATAAGTGGAAATCCGCCAAGTAGGGATAGTAGTACAAAGTACTTACTAGTATATATATTAAGGCTTTATAAACCCTGCCCACACTCTTGCAATGTTCTAAACAATGTTTCTAAACTAAACGCTCTAAAAGAGCACAGAAAGTCACGCTGCAATCACACTCATCACCTACTCCCACTCTCCCTCCTTCTGTGTAAATAAACAATTTGTTTATTTAAAATATTACAGTATTTAAATTGTAGAGGAGAGAAGTGCAGCAGGACAGCAAAGGGTTAACCCTTCACGAAGCTGCTGGGCGTGGCAGAGAGCCGCATGTGGCAGAGAGCGCAGATCATGACAGGCTGCACAGGGAGCTTCTCCCTGCACCTGTGGGCTGCACACTGGTGCTAAATAATTTCAAATACTTCTTTTTAAATAAACAATCCATGCCGCTCTTCCGGCTCATCCATCAATCAGCCAATTGTGTGTCGTGTCCAATCGTACTTTGAAAAACCGCGAAAGAGCGAGTCCGCGAAAGTCGAACCACGTAGTAGTGAGGACTACTGTATTTGGGTTTTTAGTAAGGAATAAGTTAAATGGCTTATTGGTGATTACAGCATCACATTAAGCTGTAACTCAGGCTGATCAGGAGGAAGTAACCATAGAAACGTACTGTATAGAGAAATCATGTCGGTCCTTATTCCCGTGCAGGTGGCCCTGGGCGAGGCAGCGTGCCGCCTTCTCCTTGTTACAGCAGCGAAGACCTGATCAGCTGTCAGCTCACACGCTCTGTGCAGTGCGCTCACCAGAAGCCGATCACGGTGCTGCGAGCGGCCGCCGGCAGGGTCGTCACCGGCAGCCAGGACCACACAGTCCGGGTAACAAAGAAACAAACCACAGTTTGGAGAACGTGCTCAGTTTAGTCGTGTTTACAGGAGTCCTGCGTGTTTTGTTCAGGTTTACCGACTGGAGGACTCGTGCTGCCTCTTTACTCTGCAGGGCCACTCTGGAGGGATCACAGCCATCTATATTGATCAGGTCAGTCCTCATCATCATCAGATACTGTTGTCTTTAATGCTTCTATCAGAATGATGCATGACTGAGAACATACAGGAACTACAAAGTTCACCTTGTAATAAAAACAGTTCCTCCGTTGTCACTTTAATTTTTTTTATAATAATGGTTGAAAGTAATTTTATTAACATTAATTTAATTAACTTTGCAGTACTCTCTTCCATATTTAGAATTACAAAAGGCAGTAAAAAAGATTAAAAGCTGTAACTTGACTCTGAAACACTTTGTTTTACTGGTTTCTGTTTGTTCCCCTCAGACGATGGTTCTGGCCAGCGGCGGGCAGGACGGCGCCATCTGTTTGTGGGACGTCCTGACAGGAAGCCGTGTCAGTCACGTCTACGGTCACCGTGGCGACGTCACCTCGCTGGTCTGCACTACCTCCTGCGTCATCAGCTCAGGACTGGATGACATCATCTGTATCTGGGACCGCAGCACCGGGATCAAACTGTACTCGATCCAGCAGGTACTGAAGGATCCGCAGTGACATCTCCACCAACACCCAACTGGACAAATCTAGTTTTGTTTCAGTATATTTTTATTTCAGAGGACAAAAGTACTTTGAAAATGAGCGATTAAAAACATGAAGACTGCAATGATCAGATTATAATTATTTTTTTTAAATCACTTTATTGGGCTCTTTGTGCAGCCGTGTTTTATTTAGTTTCATTAAATTCATATGGACAGTTGTTGAATATTCTCAGATAAACAAATATGACACATTTACAGTATACAGCTGTTAGTGATCAAAACATGCCTGTCAGTCAGTATTATATATGTGTGTGTGTGTGTATATATATATATATATATATATAAAAAATAAGTAAGAATGCAAAGTAATAAAAGATTTGAACAGAATCTTCAGTCAGTGAACTTTACTCTTTGGTTTTGTCAGACATAAAACATTGTTTCATTTTCTTGCTGCTTTGAAACTACAAAAATACTCTAAATAGTTTATTATTATAATAATTTTTATAAATAAGGTTATAAAATTACCTCATTGATATTTTTGGCCCAAAATTGATACAGAAATCCAAAGAAATGGGCAATCTTTAATATCCATCCATCCATCCATCCATCCATCCATCCATCCATCCATCCATCCATCCATCCATCCATCCATCCATCCATCCATACATACATACATACATACATCCATACATCCATACATACATACATACATACATCCATCCATCCATCCATACATACATACATTCATTCATACATACATACATTCATTCATTCATACATACATACATACATCCATCCATCCATACATACATACATTCATTCATACATACATACATTCATTCATTCATACATACATTCATACATCCATCCATCCATACATACATACATTCATTCATTCATACATACATACATACATACATACATACATTCATCATACATTCTTCATACATACATACATTCATCACACATACACACATTCATATATTCATTCATTCATACATACATTCATTCATTCATTCATTCATACATTCATTCATTCATTCATTCATACATTCATTCATTCATACATACATACATACATTCATACATTCATTCATACATACATTCATACATACATACATTCATTCATACATACATACATTCATTCATACATACATACATACATACATACATTCATTCATACATACATACATACATACATACATTCATTCATACATACATACATTCATTCATACATTCATACATACATTCATACATACATACATACATACATACATACATACATACATTCATTCATACATTCATACATACATTCATACATACATACATACATACATACATACATACATACATACAT